GCCTCGCCAATGTCGTGCAAAGGGAGGTTTCCCCTGTCGGGAGCGCGCGCTGGGCTGTCCAAATCCCGGACAAACAGCGTCCGTCATTCCTGATGTTTAGCTCACAAACACTTCCTGAAACTTTGGAGCTGTGAGCTCTTTATACAGTAAAGTTACAGAATCATCAGGGAAACGTCGTCGGTTTGTAACACGTGAGAACAGAACGTGTCTCATGTTCTCTGCGACCCACAAACTGAACGCTCATGTACCCACACTCGTCTTTCACCGTCTCACTAAAGTAAACCTCACTACTTCCACGTCGAGTTGGTTGGAAAGGAGGCGGAGCCAACTGGACCCGCGATCCCGACGCAGGTGAAACACACTCTGTCGGGGATACCTGCCTCAGCACGACACCTGTCCAGGAAGTGTTGGGAGTCTTGGTGATAAAGAGTCAGGTTGTGTTTTACTGACTCTTATTCTGAAGGAGCCTGTCAGGAAGAGGACGCTTCCCCCATTCAGGTCACTTTCAGCAGCATCATTAGAGATATTTGATGTTTGTTATATTTTGATGTCTTTTCTGTTAATCCAAAGTAAAGTGTTTGTTGTGTGCTGAGGATTGGGCAGCGATGGTCAAATGAAGCTTTCTGAGGCTTGTATTGAAGAAGCTTTTCAGCACAGGCCTCTTTGGTGACATCTGGTGGCCAAAAACATGAAGCGCAGTTGAATCTGCTTAATGTAAAGTGCTTCATCGTGATTGGCCGCTCTACAGAGCTTCTGTTTCATATCGGGCTGATGTGGAGCTTTGTGTGTTTGTGGGGCTGAAAAAATGATGTTGAGTCTGTTTTAATAATAAATCATTTAGATGAACAAACCTCCCTGGTTTAAACCGTGCTGTGTTCTCCTTTTGCTTGGACTTCTTGATGTTTTTAGTAATAAACAAATACAACATATATAACAATGCACAAAACAATTATATAAAGGCTGTGAGTGTGCTGTGAGGTCCCTGCCGCCATATGATTATGTAATTAACCAGTGGACGCGTACATTTATAGATAACATGCTATAGAAGAGCGCATCCTCTCTTCAGCACAAACACTGACAGACTCAAGAACAGTTTGTTTCTACAAGGCATTCTATTCTATTCTATTCTATTCTATTCCATTCAAACAGATAAAATCATCTGTCTGTACTGCCAGTCTTTCACCAGCAGGGCGTGTGTGCACATGAAGCCCTGAGAAATGAACCTTTTTGGGAACCATCAGGCTGGAAGGAGCTTAAACCCTGAAAACTGTGGCGAGTTGATCAGAGTACTAGTAGTAGACCTCCTACTGTCCACACAGAGGGATCTTCCACTAACGCTGACACTTGACTGGTCAGTAGGCGGTGACGTCATACTTATTGATCTCCAGTCTGGAGGTGAGAAGCTATAACCTGATCTTCATAATATTGTAAGAAGTTACCGTGACGATTTTCCCTGGATAACATCAAATCCAGGATGGTAGTTCACTCTCTGCTCGCTCCATCCAACAATCATCAGACATGCATATCTCAGGGGAACCATCACTCATTAGTTTCAGACACATATGAGCCGCACACCATGCATCACCTCCAAGTCACACACAAATCTGTGATGATCACTGATCTGAATGTGGAGAGTCAGAGAGAAACAAGAACGATGTGTCTTCTCTTCATCAGCACAAACAAATGAAACATGATGGAGGAAGCTGGCTGCAGAGGGGCTGTGAACATGTTTCTTTGGACATGTTGGACGTGGTAACATGGAGTATGTGGGGACTGAATCCACGGAGATGTTTTTAGTGGGAGGGGTTCTTTTCTGTTTGGAGGACATCAGCTGCCTCCTCTGGAGGACAACCAAACCAAACAATGTTCACTTAGAGCTTTCAAACATGTGACTGTGGTGATCATGTGACCCACAGCCTCACAGTGTGTGATGTCATCCTGCCTCACTTCAAAAGATCAAACAGGCTGATACGACTGTGTGTGTGTGTGTGTGTGTGTGTGTGTGTGTGTGTGTGTGTGTGTGTGTGTGTGTGTGTGTGACAGTATCACAGCACTAACACGTCTTTCTCTTCTCACTCGACTTCTCTGCAGCTTTAACCTCATTTGAAGGATTCCAGCAGCAGGTTTGGATGTGTCGGAGTTTCCAGACGGCCTTTAAACGCATCATGATGTAAGCGGCTGCACTGAGGGGAATAAAACACCTGAGCAGGTGTGCTGCTGCTGCTGCTGCCAACAGGATGTCCTGCTGCTCTGGCTGCTGCGTGAGTCCCAGCGAGGAGCTGCTGGACGCTAAAACTCAAAGTCATGACAGCAGCAGCTGATTTATTCTCCATTACTCATTTATATTAATTTATAACAGGGACCCTGAACACATCACACATTCATTCATTCCCACTATGATTCATAACAGCTTCATTTACACTGAATGACACCATATTCGAATTTCCAAGAGGAACCCACCCGAGGGATTAATAAAGTTCTATCTTATCTTATCTTATATGACAGCTTTATCTATCAGATTATATAGAAAATGATTTCTATTCATGTTTCTATTATTAAATCTAATCTGATAATCAGGTCAGATTCTGCTTTTCACATCAAGAGACTTTTATCAGGTCAAATGTAAATAAAAAGAAGTGAGGAGGTTTCAGGTTTCAGGCTGGGTGTGCCTGGGTCAAAGGTCACTGTGTGTCCTCTCCTGCTGCAGGGATCAGGAAGAAGGAAGAGGAGGAGGAAGATGGACGCGTCTGTGCTCAGAGAAGAGTATCAGAGCTCCAGAGAGAGGAGGAGGAGGCACACTCAGGTGCTGCTGTTCAGGACAGGTGAGAGGAAATGCCATCTGATCCACTTCCTGTTTGACTTTGGACAAAATCTTTAAACTCAGTGAAAATCCATCTGTCAGGTTACCTGATAGAAATGAGACTTATTCCTTCACAATAAAAGCATGTCAGACACGCAGAGAGTGTGCTGGATCCTTTGTGAACGTGTTTTAATCACTTATTTCAGTAAAAGTAGCAGTACTACAAAGTAAAAGTACTATAAAGTAAAAGTACTCTGTTAACACCATTTTCCTGATGTGAGAAACACAAACTTGCTTCTACTGTTGTGGTAAAATATGAGCTTTTATTTTGAAGGTGAAACTTCCTGCTGTTGCTCTGGCTGATGTGACTGTTGGAGGTTTTTCTTCTTTCTAAAGTGAACTCACAGGATCTGATGGCTGTGTTTTTATTTTCATCATATTCAGTTTCTGTTTCTAACAGGTGAGTCTCAGGTGAGTCAGTGGAGCCACAAGTCGAGTGCAGGAGCTGCAGTTTGTAGCCGGTTGAGCCTTTGCTTTACTGCAGTCAGACTGCAGAGGGCGCTGTGTCTCTGAACTTTACCTGCTGCTCACCTGGATGAAATCACCTGAGAGCTGAAATCTGCTGAGTGCCGCCTTTCATGAGTTCAGGTGTTTCTTATTAAAGCAGCACAAACAGAAACACTGATCAGTGATCAGTAATTTGAAAGGAAGAATCTTTAATAACTGAGTGTTCAGAGTCAAACATGTTTCACAGACAAATATTCACATCTGAGCGTCACAGATTAGAAACCATTCATCCTCTTTCAGATTATTACTTCCTGTCAGCTGATCCTTTGGGTCCTGGTCTCTCTCTGATGATTGGACGCTCGTGTTGGCTGTGGGCAGGTCAGGATTTCTCATGTTCTGATTTCCGTCTTTAGTCTCGGAGGAGCTGTCCGAGGCCGTCGCCATCGTCCCTGCCCCTCAGGGTCTGACGTTACCATGGCCACCACCCGTGATCTTTGACCCCGATTCCTGGCACGTCCACCTGGACCTGCACCGGCGCTCCTGCCCAGAGACATCCAGCAGGTGAGTTCCTCTCTGTCAGAGCTCCAGCACAGCAGGAGGTCTTCATCATGTCCGCCTGAGAGGTCTTCATCCCTGCTGGGAGGAACCCGCCTGCACATGGAAGGAGGTTCAGTGTTATCACGCCTCCTCACAGCTGTCCTCACAGTTTGCTCTCTCTGATGCTGTTGTTTTCCTCTGCAGACGCTCCGGCTCGTCCTCCTCGGAGGTCGGCGGCTCGCAGCACAAGTCCAGATACAGGAGACTCTCGGCTCCTCCGAGCAGCTCCTCAGAAACGCCTCCCTGCTGCTCCTTAAGCGCCACACGAGAAGAGGAAGATCCAGACCCTCCATCCTTCAGAGGCTCCAGGGGGGACCTGGCGTTTCCGGACTACTCTCTGGGCTTGACGGAAAGCTCCACCCCTATCACCACCAGCCTGCAACAGGACCAGCAGGAGAACCGGTCTACACAGAAGGAGACCAGTAACAGCGTCCTGGAGGGGAGGAGCTCCAGGACGCTCAGGTTTACCAGGCAGCAGAGCGTGGGGGGGGCATCCTCACACTCCCAGGTCTACTACCCGTTCCCCAGCAGGAAGACGCCGAGGATCTCTGAGGCCGCCAAGAGGCTGGGGATGTACTCGAGTATCTGAGGAGGACCGGATTCAGCAGCAGGTCGTCCACGTGGAGCCTCACAGGGATCAATACGCGATCGATCGATACATGAACCAATTTTGTGAGTTTTTAAAGAGCAAAAGTTTGATGGTCCATCCTTCTCTGAGCTTCACAGAGGAGCTCTCATCATCATCACCTGTGACGTCTCGCTGGTTATAAAGAGTTCTTCATGTTAGCGGCTCGGTCGTACATGAAGGTTCAACAGCATCATTTGAATCTGTCAGCAGACCTTCAGCTCTGCTATTATTATTATTATTTATATTACAATAAACGCTTAAAAATAGAATTTTTTCTTAATTTCGCTTTAAAAATAGTTTTTACTTCTAATCATAATTTTCTTTTATATCACGTACTCTTTTAAATTTTATTTATTCTATAATATAATTTCACACATTGTTTACTTGATTTTGAATTGATTTGTATTTTATTATGTACACTTTTAATATTTTTGATCAAATTTTGCTGTTTTATTTTTTCCAGCAAGAGAAACCAAACACGTTCATGAGCTTGTTCACTTTATTTCACTAAAAATTACACATGAATAACTAATGCTACCTGGATCCAGGTGATGAAGCAGTGGGAGGGGCTTCAGTCAGAAACGTCACAGACATGTCAGGCCTGTCACGAGTGAAAAGAAGACTGAAAAACTTTGGGATGTTAAACTTTGCTCTGCAGGACCCAGCTGGCACTAACGTGGACGTTCTTCAGCCGATCGCTCTCATCTCAGATTTTTGGAGCTTTAAATGCGACACAGTCACGGCTCGCAGGCTGTTTCATCATTTTAGCTTCTTTTCTCTTTCACTGCTGGTGGACTGAGCAAATCTGCTCGCCCATATAAAATCCTCCAATCAGGCTTTGACATGATGATGATGTCGTTGATCCAATCAGGCTGAAGTCGAAGCGAGCAGCCCATCTTCAGGTGGCTGAGGGTTCCTGTGATGACTCTGATCTTCTTTCAGGTAAACAGGTGTAAAAGTCAAACTCAAAGCTGGCTTCAGTAGAAAATGGCGGTTGCGGGATTTCACTGATGGCGGTTTGAGGCTCAGCTGTGGCTCTTCTGCACAACTCTCTCCTCCAATTGCGCGTAGCGCTTCAGCAGCTCGTCGTACACCTGAAACAAAACAGAGGAAGAAATCCTGAGCTCGCCTCTGCTTCCTGACCTGACAGAGAGGGCGGGGCTATATCTGAGACATCAGAGACACTTTTCAAACACGCTGCATGTCTGCACCTTAATCTCAGCGCTTAGAGGCCATCTTGGAAACACTTGTGGGAGGCTGTGTCAGGTGTGATGAGTCCGTGTGTGTCAGCGAGTGAGTTTAATGAGTGTTCACAGGTTTGTTTGATGGAAACTGACTTACAGGAAAGTGGAGGAACTCTGAACGGGACAAGAGCCTGCACTGCAAAAACTCAAAATCTTGTACCAACCTTGTGATCTTGAACCAAGTGTATTTGTCTTATTTCTAGTCAAAATAATCTCATCACATTTAAAATGAGACACAATCAACTATCCATCCATCCATCCATCCTCATCCGCTTTGTCCGGGGCCGGGTCGCAGGGGCAGCAGCCTAAGCAAAGAGGCCCAGACCTCCCTCTCCCCAGCCACCTCCTCCAGCTTATCTGGGGAATACCAAGGCGTTCCCAGGCCAGCCGAGAGATATAATCTCTCCAGCGTGTCCTGGGTCTGCCCCGGGGCCTCCTCCCGGTGGGACATGCCTGGAACACCTCACCCAGGAGGCGCCCAGGGGGCATCCTTGTCAGATGCCCGAACCACCTCAGCTGGCTCCTTTCGATGTGGAGCAGCAGCTGCTCTACTCTAAGCCCCTCCCGGATGGCCGAACTTCTCACCCTATCTCTAAGGGAGAGGCCAGCCACCCTTCGGAGGAAGCTCATTTCTGCCGCTTGTATCCGCGATCTCGTTCTTTCGGTCACTACCCACAGCTCGTGGCCATAGGTGAGGGTAGGGACGTAGATCGACCGGTAAATTGAGAGCTTCGCTTTTACACTCAGCTCCCTCTTCACCACGACGGACCGGTGCAGCGTCCGCATTACTGCAGCTGCAGCCCCAATCCGTCTGTCGATCTCCGGCTCCCTTCTCCCATCACTCGCGAACAAGACCCCGAGATACTTGAACTCCTCCACTTGGGGCAGGAACTCATCCCCGACCCAGAGTGGGCACGCCACCCTTTTCCGGCTGAGAACCATGGCCTCAGATTTGGAGGTGCTGATCCTCATTCCCGCTGCTTCACACTCGGCTGCGAGCTGGAGGCCCTCACCTGATGAAGCCAACAGAACCACATCATCCGCAAAAATCAGAGATGAGATTCTGAGGCCACCAAAGCGAAAGCCCTCCGTCACTTGGCTGCGCCTAGAAATCCTGTCCATAAAAATTATGAGCAGAACCGGTGACAAAGGGCAGCCCTGGCGGAGCCCATCACCCACCGGGAACGAGTCCGACTTATTGCCGCCACCCGGGTCTGCCAGTCCACAGGTACTGCCCCTGATCTCCACGCAACATTGCAGAGGCGTGTCAACCAGGACAGCCCTACAACGTCCAGAGCCTTCAGGAACTCGGGGCGGACCTCATCAACACCAGGGTCTCTGCCACCAAGGAGTTGTTTAACTGCCTCAGTGACCTCGCCCCCGGAAATTGGCGGGTCATTCCCCTCATCCCCAGACTCTGCTTCCTCCTCGGAAGACGTGTCAGTGGGATTAAGGAGGTCCTCGAAGTATTCCTTCCACCGCCTGACAATTTTCTCAGTCGACGTCAGCAGCGCTCCGCCAGCACTATACACAGTGCAGGTAGAGCACCGCTTTCCCTCCTGAGACGTCTGACGGTTTGCCAGAATCTCTTCGAGGCAGTCCGAAAGCTTTTACCATGGCCTCTCCGAACTCCTCCCACACCCGAGTTTTTGCTTCAGCCACTGCCCGAGCCGCATTCCGCTTGGCCTGTCGATACCTGTCGGCTGCCTCCGGAGTCCCACAGGCTAACCAAGCCCGATAGGACTCCTTCTTCAGCCTGGTGGCTCCCTTCACCTCTGGTGTCCACCATTTGGTTCGGGGATTACCACCACGGCAGGCACCAACCACCTTGCGGCCGCAGCTCAATGCAGCAGCTTCGGCAATGGAGACGCTGAACATGGTCGAATTCGGACTCAATGTCCCCAGTCTCCCTCGGAATGCTGTTGAAGCTCTGCCGGAGGTGTGCGTTGAAGATCTCGCAGACTGGGGCCTCTGCTAGACGTTCCCAGCACACCCTCACTACGCGTTTAGGTGCACCAGGTCTGTCCAGCGTCCTCCCCCGCCACCTGATCCAACTCACCACCAGGTGGTGATCAGTTGACAGCTCAGCCCCTCTCTTTACCCGAGTGTCCAGAACATATGGTCGCAGGTCTGCTGATACGATTACAAAATCGATCATCGACCTACGGCCTAGAGCGTCCTGGTGCCACGTGCACTTATGGACACTCTTATGTTCGAACAGGGTGTTCGTTATGGCCAAACTGTGATTAGCACAGAAGTCCAATAACGAGCACCGCTCGGGTTCAGATCAGGGAGGCCGTTCCTCCCAATCACGCCCCTCCAGGTCTCGCTGTCACAATACTTGTGACACAATCAGCTACTGAGTAACATTTCAGTAAGATTTAGAAAACATGTTTTTAGAAAGGGCATCTTGAAACTACATCATTTTCACTTGTTCCACTGGCAGATTTTTTTCACTTAATACAAATTTTTTTGCTTGGAATAAGTGAAAAAGTCTGCCAATCAGCTACTCAGTGCCTGATTGTGTCTTATTTTTAGTGTGATGAGATTATTTTGATTAGAAATAAGACGAATGTCCTTGGTAAGACTTTGAGTTTGTTCAGTGTGTTCTTTGGACTCCAGCGTCCTGCAGGTTGCTTTAGACCTGATTCATACGGCACTCTGAGAGCTCAAACACACTGCAGCTGAAGAAAATAGCAGCAAACAGAAAAATGCTGCAGAAGCTCACAGAGACCAACACGGGGGTTTCATTAAGGTGACGGACCAGCTGCAGCAGTGACAGGAAGTAGAACATGTGAAGGACTGAGACGTGTTTAAAAGAAGCGGAGGATTCATCACCATGCAGGTAACGCGTGTTTGAATCACATGACTCATAAAATCCAGCAGGTATGTGTTTACGATTAGCTGTTCACTGTTAGTGTGTAACATGTGCAGCTGGTCCGTCACCTTAATGTCTCCCCAGAAACACTGGTGTTGGTCTCTGCTGGAGAGCAGAACGTGTTTCTGTGGTTATGAGGGCACGTTTCATGAAGCTCCTGCCTCAGAGACCTGCTGCACGGTTCAGCTTCAGAGGCCAGCAGCGCATCATCATACAGTGGCCGCCTCACCTCCTTCGCCTTCAGATGCGGGGTGGCGACCAGTCTTGGTTCTGGTGCTTTCTTCACCACATCAACGAAGGACGCTCCGGATTCTGCCACCAGGCCTGAAACCAAACATCGACCAATCAGAAGCTTCTTACAGCCATATTTCACAAACACCTGAAGCAGAATTCACTGATCTGCCTTTTTCCTGTTCTGATGTCAGACGGTCTCACTGCAGGCTGTGAATCAGTCATGTCACCATGTTTTTCTGTTTGTAGACATAGTTTCTCCCTTTTTCATGGACCTGAGTGTAATGTTTAATCAGAGCGGACTGACAAAGTAAAGAAATTGCCTGAGTTTAAGAACTTGGTCCAAATATTTTTATTCATGTGAAAGGAAATCAAAAAATATAGAACCCTGTTTCCATTTCCACAGACCAATGAGCAAGGTGTCACAGCCATCTCCATCAGGGCTGCCACCAGAGTACTGCAGGTCATCGGGCTGAGACCAAGTATACAGTCTGCATATATGCAGCTGAGCTGAGACTCCACAGACATCTCATGATACCATAGTATTGTGAATTAACATTTTCTGATTCGCTTTGTCAACATCTGCTTTATCCAGTCACATAAAGTTCTCACGTCAGTTATTAACAGACTGCAAGTAACTGCCAACTAGACCACATTCAGCCTGCTAACAGCTGCTAACAGTCTGCTTCCTCTCCTTCTTTCCTTTCCTTTTATGTCCTCTCCTTCTCTTCTCTCTTCAAACTGAAACACTCTCAGAGCTCAGAGACGAGGCAGTCTAGTGCGGGTTTTTCAAAATAAAAGCTGTGAGCACACTGACCGTGTAGAGCTCTGTAGGCTGAACCCAAACAAGTGGAGTCGGACAGGTCGATGGTGTAGACCGGAGCGTTGAACACGTCAGACAGCACCTATGGAGAAGACCACAGGAAGTGACTCTTCTCCCTCTGAAACTCACAAAAATGCTGCTGCTTTGATGACATCATTATGGCTATGTCCATCTTTTACATACAGTCTATGCATGTGGGTGCTAATAAAGCCTCAGACAGACCTGCAGGATCTCTTTATTCGATGACGCTCCTCCCGTCGCCAGAACTCTGGTTCCTGGAACTGAAAACAAAAAATGTCCTCCCAGCTGAGACTTAAAGGACATTCAAGGTTTATCTAAGGAGGACGACGGCTTTACTGTCACCTCAGTCACAGTTACAGCGCTCTGGCTCAGAATCAGAACCAGTGTAAAGACTTCTGTATGAAACGAGGGCTCAGGTTTAAAACGTGTAATCAGAGCTGAGCCTGATCCACGAGTTTCCTCACACAGTAAATTCAAACAACAAATGGAAGCGTGTGAGGTCTGAGGAGGTCTTACTGATGGAGTATCCCAGTCTCTCAGCATGAAGCCGCCTGGACAGGAACTGACCCTCCACCACAGCCCGAACCTCCACCTGAGGACTCAGCGAGGACACCTGCAGGTGGGATACGTGAAACAGGTTTAACAGGTGAGACAGGTGTGCCACAGTCTGGGTGTTACAGTTTTTTCTGATTGCTTAAGCACATTTTTTGTAACTATTGGCTAATTTTGCAAAACTCTTCACACAAATAAGAAAACCTGTCACCCAATAATCAAAACATTGTAGTTCTCTTGCAAAAGCAAACACAGCTAGATTAACTCTCACACCTTCGTAAAAATGGTGTTTCCGTATCAAACAGTACACACAAGCCATCATCTACTAAGCACACAATGCGCCAACTGCACACTGATGGTATGAATACAAAACACATCTGGCTTTTGCTTTCTCTGTGCACAAGGTAGGCTATGTCAGTTTGAGCTCATACTTCTGTCATAGATCCATAAGCATAGAGGGATCCAAACTTCAAGTACTGGTGTTTATTCAAACACATCAAAACAAACACAAGTGTTTATTTCCAAGTATAGGAGTATTTGCAGTCGCCATAATGACTATATGGGTTACTTGGTCTGCAGTGAACATGCTTCCTCTGCCCCAGCATCTGGTCATCTAGCAATTCTGTAAAGTAACAATTTCAGTATTTTTACATCAATGGTATTGGTGTGTTTCTCATTGGCATATGGCAGTGCTACAAATCTTTGTGCGAAGTGACTGTACTAACCGATTCTCATTTCAAGATGTCCTTATGGTGCTTGCTACAGTGTAGCGGCTCGAGTTAGGCTGGACCCGTTGGCCAGCTACCCTCAGGGTCATTCCACGGTTGATTACATGGTCCACTATTGTAGCTCTGATGTCATCAGCAATTCTATTTCTTACTCTTCCTACCCTTCCTCTCCCCCCTCCTCATCTTCCTCTCCCTCCTCCTCATCTTCCTCTTGCTCCTCCTTGTCCTTGTCGTCCTCTTCATCCTACTTCTTCACCTCCACGTCCTCTTCCTCGGCCTCCTCTACTTCTCACTCTTTCTGCTCCCTCCATTGTACTCCGCACACACAGCTTACCTGTATTATAGTGCTTAGGCTGATTGCAAAGTGAACTAATTATCTAAAAAGTTTTCACATGTGAAAGTGTGCCAGACAGTTGGCAGATTAGTGTTAATGATAGCCACACATGTGTATACTTTTGCTAGGAGTGTGTTGGAAATTTGGTAATTGAGTGTTGTGCAGTGAATTGTGCCTACAGTTTTGCAAAGTGTGTGTTACAAAATTGCAAACTGAGTGCAAAGCAGTTTTTGTGCTTTTAGTTTTGCAAACTCAGTGAGTGGTTTTGCTATAAGTCTGAATAGTTTTAGAGATTGTGCTACAGGAATCACAGTTAGGGTTTAAGCATTCAGAAAAAACTGTAATAGATGGAAACATGATAAATGTTGGTGCACAGACCTCACAGTCAGCAGAGTCAAAGCGATGAACACCAATCACAGGAGGCGTGATCTCCATAGTTTCAAAATAAAAGCCTGAAAACACACATCACAAGGAATCAGACAGAGGAGGCAAAGAAGGAAGGAAGGTAAGGAAAAAGAAAGGAACTGAAGCAAGGACAGGAAATGATGAGGTGAAATGAACCTCACCGATGTTTCCATGGTTTCTGAGCGGCGTGTCCCTCAAAGCTGCTGAGAAAAGTTCCCATGATGCTCCAGCACACTCGTTCCTGACGCGCTCCCTCGTCAGAGACCCGTTCTTGAAGCTGCTGATGACAAAACACCTGAAACACTGCAGCCTGTCTCTGGCTCCACCCCCTTTCCTAACCAACATGGCGGACGCATCGAGGAGTCTGGTTCCCTCTGACTTTCTTGACATCATTGAACCCTCACCTGACAGCTCACCTGTTTGTTTGTGTGTGTGTGTGTGTGTGTGTGTGTGTGTGTGTGTGTGTGTGTGTGTGTGTGTGTGTGTGTGTACCACAGCAGAGCCATGTACTCCTGCTGTTCCACTGGGTTACAGAAGACGTGACCCTCCAGAGCCGGACGAGGCTGCTGCAGCCACAGGAACACCGTGTCACTGGTCCCCAGACTCACCTGGACACACACACACACGCACACACACACACACACACACATTAACAGCCACAGTAACCCGACGTGATGACAGGAAGTGTGCCAGAGTCAGACTCACGGCGACGTCTCCGGGCTGCAGCCTCATTCCTGCCAGCGACGCTGAAACAGAAACAGGTTTGATTCAAACGTTTTTCACGTTCAGTTTATTTGAATCACGTCTGTTTTAGCATTTTTTATTTTTATTTATTTATTGTTTTCAATTCATTATTTTTATATCACTTTATTAATTTTGTGTTTAATGATGTTATTTTATTCTATTTTGTTATTAATTTAATTTCACATATTAGTAGAACTTTTATTTATGCTTATTTGTTTTACATGCTTTAGATTTCTCTTTAATTTCATGGTGAATCATAACCCACATGTTTAGTTAATTTTCACATTATTGTTGTTGTCATGCAGTGCTGATGTGGACCTGTGTGACTACAGGTTCACATCAGCACAAGTAACATGTTTACATGATCTCATTAAATGCTGGTTGTTAGTTTAACTTCATATTTATTCTATAACATATTTCAGCTGTTTTGTTGAAGCTTGTGTTTGTTGTCTCATTCAGGATAAATAAAGGTTATCTCATATGACCTCACTGAGATCAAGCTTTGCAGGATTCTTTCAAACAGGCCTGATGTTTGTGTTTAAACAGTCACACTTCATGATGTTGGGGAACAAATCTAATGATTAACCATCAATAATCTCACATGTACCTGGGTTGTCTCCAGTGAACGCCACCACACTGCAGCTCTCAGAGAAACCGTACCGATGCACAAAGTAGGAGGAGACGGGGCCCTGCAGACAGGCAGACCAGAATGTCACGGACCATCATGAGCACAAAAAGCTCACAATCAGTGGAAACATTAACTTGTTATCCCTTTGATCCAGGTGATTGATAGATGGATTTTTTGTCTGCTTATTTTGTTGGTTTTTGTTTTTTGCCCTTTATCACCGTCCCTCTCCCCCGCTGTTTTTCTTTCCCTCTTTCTTTCTCCCCTATTTAGCAAGTGAAAATAAAATCAAATAAACAATATGGAGGAGTTGTACTTACATCTTCTGCATTCAGCTTGTCCTCGGTCATGGTTTCCTTCCACTTATAGCTTTGCAAAAAGTTGCGTAAAAAGCACTTGCAGCAACAAAAACATAATATTCCAGAAACTGGCTTTGCTGATCCGATCAGCTGTACGTAACACTTCCTACGTTACCCGCCCGAAACCGGAGCTGATGTCGTTTTCGCGTAAAATGTATTTTTTTCCTTTAGGGCGTTTACAAAGACATGCTGGTGTTTTTAAATTAATGTTTGAGTTCCTGCCTTTCTGAATAGTTTCTGGGATGCAGAACTCAAAATGCACTGCTGGTTTCTTCAGAAATTTGCATTATAATATTTATTTTCATTTTTCCTGCAGTTTATAAAAGTTGGTGTATTTCAAAGATAAAACTTTGAAGACACTCAAAATAAATTTCCTGTGGCTGGAAACTATTTTGTGCAACTTTCTTGTATTTACAGTTTTGAGGGATAAGCCTCTGAAATTTCTGCAACTAGAAATATATGTTAAAAAAACCAAAAATGATTTTCAATTTTTTTGTAATTTATTGCAATTTTTGGAATTTATGTAGTTCCTATGAACTTAATGCAGACATATTATTACTTGAAATGCTCCCAAAGCGCCACTACAGCATGTAAAATATAAAGATGGTGGACTTGGCTCTGTGGTTTTCATGTGTATCCATATTCAGTGATATAGCTGGAAATTAACTACACATATAAATCTTCTCTGTTTCTCTTTTTTGACATATTTCTCAAATAACCTATTTTATCATATTTATAATAAAACTGTAAATTCTGTTTTTGCTGTGACACCTGAATACTTTTAGTGGCCCCCGTGTGGCCACCCCATGAAAATATTCTGGAGGCTCCCCTGCTTACCAGCACAGATGTGGAGGGCAGTGGAGCTCCCAGCAGCTGGTCCAGGTGAGGAGCGGTGGCCTGCAGGCAGATCTCAGACCAGTTTCTGGTCCTGATGTCCAGCAGATTCATCCCTGAGCCTGAACAATCGATCAGTGGGTTCATTGATTAGCTGATGGGTGCGAGACCCTCAGAGAGCGACGAGCCACACAAACCGTACCGTCGCTGTAGTCGATGGCAGCGTAACCACCGAGGAAGAGAGAGGCGGCAAAGCTGCTGACCAATGAGATCCTCTGAAACCAAAAACACACACGTTCATCAGGTGTGAGGAAACAGCTGGAGGTGGGACTGTGCAGGTGCAGTGACGCTGTCACCTCGGTGTCCTGGAACTCCTCCGCTCGGGTCTGACGCAGCTTGGCGATCTGGTTTCCTGTGAAACGCTGCAAACACACGGACGCGTCCTTTAAAGCTCTTTAACACACACACACACACACACACAGATGTGGCACAGCTGGACCTCGCAGGCTCTGGATCCGGTGATCTCCGCCAGCCTCAGAGCGCCTCCTGCTGCTGCCTGCAGGTCCTCACACTGCTGAGTGCTGCTCGAGTCCATCCACACCGGACTGTCCGACACCGAGAAGCTGTCCTGAGGACGCAGCAGCACACCCGAGTCAGCATTTAACCACACACACACACACACACACACACACACACACACACACACACACCTGCAGCAGCTGGTGCAGGTCCTGGTCCGGGTCCAGATGTTTCAGAGTCTCAGACGCTCCTCTCCTCCAGAACACGCTGCCATGTTGCTGAGAGACAACACAAGTCAACCAGACTCCATTCACTTTTCTTCAAATTTTACAGGCTGGTTCCCGCCTCCTGCCAGGTGATGGCAGTGTGCTATATGATCAGAAGTATGTGGACACCCAGTGAGCAGCTCCCTCCGAGCTGCACATCACTCAGCAGCTTTGATTTCAGCAGGTAAATGTTTAGCGAGCACAAAAGTGCTTCAGGATTTACTCCGAGTCACACGTGCTGGTGGGAAGTCGTGCAGTTAGTGTGACACGATGCTGTCATGTACACTGAAGCACTTCATGAGGAAACTGACTCTGTCTCAGGAAACTTCCCACCACACTCCACTCATTCTTCTCCAGATTTTAGTGGAAATTTGTTTTTAGTGTTTGCTGCTAAAAACAGAAGCAAGACTGAGTTCATAAAAACAGAAGGTTTAATATGACATCTGCGCTGTGATCAAAAGTATGCGGACACTCCTGGTTCTCCTGTGTTAAACAAGCTGTTCACTTTAAATTTGCACCTGAGAACATCAACATTTGAGTAAGTTCATACTGCACCAGGAGAACTTTGTACTGTGGATCAGCTGACAGCACAAACTGTCTGAACTTCCTGTTTCCCTCAGCACGAGTGGAGGCAGCACGGTAATAAGCACAGAGTCACACCTGTCCAGGTGTCCACATATTTCTGCTCATACTGCAGCACCCGTCCTGTTCATGCTTCACAAATTATTGGACATTTATGCCAAAGTCTAACTTTAACCATCACCTGACCGCTGCCTGACAGTGCTCTGACACGGGAGAAGTCAAGCCCCGCCCTCTTCATCTTGTCCAATAGCAGGTCCAGAGCCTGGAGGTGGGGAATAGCCAATCACAGAGACACAAACACAGGTCAGCAGTCAGCTGATGAACCTCAGCGTGAGTTAATAGTTTAACAGCTGTGTGTGTTACTGTGTGTGTGTTACTGTGTGTGTGTGTTACTGTGTGTGTGTCTCACCTTGACCCACATGAGCACAGGTGAGGTGACAGTGAGTCTGTCAGTGTGGATATGAACTCCTCCCTGAGTCCTGAGAGCAACAAATACACCTGAACGGTCAGACTTTCAAAATAAGACAGTGGCTGGAATCCTTTCACAATAAAAGCCTGCCAGTCACCCTGACAGGTGTGAGTGTGACTCATGAAGCCTTCCAGCTGATGCTGTCAGGTTTATATGATCTATACCTGAATTCGGGCAGCTCGGCGTCAAACTGCACGCCGCTCTGATGAACCACACGCAGCTCTCCATCGATGACCACCGCCTTCAGCTTCAGGAAGACATGAAGAGGAGCAGAGTAAAGACAGAGCTGCTGATTGGACGGTAAACCTGGGTTTAAAGTGCAGTGGAGGGGGCGCTGAAGTCACATGTTAGGAGGAAATGTTTCAGACTGTTTCAGGAAACCACGGACGAACCTTCATCTGAACCGTTGAAGCTCCGCAGGACTTTTACTTTGAAGGGACTGTTCCTGTTTCATTGTTTCATGAAGTTGAGCTGATGAAAGTTTTAGTGGTTGTAAAGAAAAAGAATGATTTATATAAGCGATGAATGAAGTGAAGAAGAGGATGGTGCAGCTGGAGGTGCTCGCTGTCTTTATACAACTAGGATCTGATAATTGTTGTACTTCCTGCTGCTGTCTCGGACACATCGTGTGAAAACTGACATTTTTACTGTCACTCAGACTTTTCAGGGATAAATGAAGGAAAATGACGTCATCCTGTTCACAGAGACGCTGACAGGTTATCGGCCACGTCACTGACGGCAGCTTAAACACCTGAAATAGCATCTTAGGCTTTATGAGCTCAGATTCACTGATCAGCTTCATTTCCTCTTATTGATTATTGGAAACGTACCGGACGTCAGCAGCTCTGTGACAGCTTCTGACGTCATCGACCTGTTTCAAACTGCGAGTGCACGCGGGTCAAAACCTATCCGATCAGCTGGACTCCGGAGTCCAGCTGAGACAACAAATCAAACCTTCCGCCGTCTCCACGTTCTGCGCCTGCGCACTAAAGTCCGTTATTTTACTGCTACGTGCACGTGGACAGCATGTCACAGCAGACTCCGCGCAGGTGAAGGAGGGACAGGTGAGGTGCTGTTACCTGCTGCGTGCTCAAGTCAAGGCCCAGGTAGAGAGGAGCGCGCGGAGCGGAGGCCATGAGCGCGAGGAACCACACAGGAGGAGGAGGGGTCCAACGTTTAGTGACACAGCCCACAGGCTCCTCCTCCTCCTCAGCGCAGACTCCGTGTTCGTGCTTTTAAAGGGACAGTTCACCCAAACCCTTTAGTTCACGTCACAGACCGACATGGTTCAACGTGGCTCAGCCAATAGAGTGGACAGGGTTTATTTGTTGTTGTCAGTAGCAACGAGGCCTACGATGGTGCCAGAGCACATGTTGAATCAGCACTATGGGCGGACTTCACACAGGGACAGTGTGGAAATGGAATAAAGGTGAGCGTTATCTGAGGTCCATGGACACGCCTCCAGGTCACATGACGGATTTAATCTGACACAGCAACGAGCTGCAGCCACGCTGAGTCTGTGTTTTAACTCCTGTTGAAAGTTCAGACTTTAAACTACACACCAGTTTGTAAATGTTACTGATCGGCCACTAAAACCAGTCATGATAAAAGAGCAGACCCAGTGTTTTTTTCTGAATTGTCACGTTTCGTTTGGGAAAATCATCGTTTTCTAAACTGAACATCTATATTTGTATGAATATAGTTATTAAAACCATTCAGTAAACATGTTTGTGTTTTTTACAGTAAAATATAAGTACTACTAGGATTTTATGTTTTTGTGTGATTTCAGATCAGTTGTGTTACTACACATGTCAATGAAACATGGCTGTAAATTCAGACACGTGAGGCTGAGCTGAAAACACTGAAACCAAACAAGGCAAAAACAAACTGTAGTCAAAGATGTCCAGTTATACCTTCATGTCAGTGCAGATTTCTGACATTTTGTATAAATTTAAGCAACAATTTAATTATTTCTAATAAAAAAAAAACAGTGAAACTGCACACAAACATGAAAACGTGACATCAATCTTATAAAAACATTATGTTTATTAATCAGTGATGTTTGAAAGCCTTTCCTGGTGAGTTTGATCCAGGAGGGTCTGAAGCCAGAGTGAGACAGAGACTGTGCAGAGACTGTAGAAGGACAGAGCAGCAGCAGAGCAGTCCAGATACACTGATGATCCTGTCAGATCCAGAGGGACACACAGGGCTGATGCTGGACTCTACATTGTGTCTGACAGTGGAGCTGTTCTCAGAGCAGTTCACTCTGCAGCACTGACAGTCATCTGCACTTCATTCCTCTGTCAGTCACTGCTGGATGAAGCTCTCCTCTCCACCTCCCAGTAACATGGCCCAGTCAGAGCGTCTCTACACACAAGCTGCTGCTGCTTCAACCTCTCTGGATCATCAGGACACAGCTGCTCCTCTCAGCACACACACCGTCCTGTTTACCATCATCGCCACCTGTACAGAGAAGGAGGAAGAGCAGAGGAGATAAACGAGTGTTTCCAGGGATAGGGTTCATACGCTTTTTTCAGGGTCAAATTCAAGCACTTTTTAAGCACTTTCAATGTCCCATCTCAAGCTTTTCCAGCACATTTATCTCAGTCTTGCAGCCCATGTCACCCTTACTTGCGGTCCACATAATGAAAAATTATTGTTCAAAAAATGATTTAATATGAAAGCAATAGGCAGAGTGTTACAGGCACAGCCCTAAAGAATGTAGCCTTGGGCAGTGTAGCCTAGCTGTAAGTAAGCTGTTAAGACTCGACTGTACGCTGTGTTCCTGTTTTCCTCTGAAACAATAAGCTCCGTTGCAGCAGCCTTTCAACGCCTCTCTCTGTCTCTCGCTAGCAAAGTTGAGCCAGACAACAAAGTAAAGCTAGTTTTCGGCTACGAGCCCGACACGAACCCGACGTATTAGCCAGAGGTCTCTTTACTACAGTTCGGAGCCGCTGACCTGTTTTATATACGCACAAATAGTTTTCTACACGAGATCACTGCAAAAAGTGCAGCCTTACCTAATGTCCACCCACTGTTACTCGTTTATATTAAGATTTAAACATCTCGTTGGTATGACGAGTAACCTTCAGTAATAGTAATAAATCACACAGTAGTAGTACATTCATGTAGCATGGTAATATATTAAGTAATCCAAAGTATTCAGAATACGTTACTCTCATTGAGTAACGTAACAGAATACGTTACAAAATACATTTTGGGGCATGTAATCTGTAATCTGTAATGGAATACATTTTAAAAGTAACCTTCCCAACACTATCAGTGGCTGATAGTGAACCACAGGCCTCAGTGTGAGCTTGAAGATATTTATAATGTTTAAGTAGTTTAACGTGCAGGTGCTGACGATAAACACATTTTTGTTTTTTGGGGGTTTTTTTTTCACTCTTTAACACGTTTTCCTGTGTTTTGTGTTTGCTACAGACAGATAAAGGAAAAGAAAAACAGAAGGGAAGAGGGACAGTGAGAGAGGGCACTTAAAAAGAGAAAGAAAACAAATCTCCTGGATCACCCGTTGAGAGAAAGAAGAGAAAACAAGCAAAAACAACAGAGCAACATACTAAACACAACACCATCACGTTAATCTAGCTAAGTGTAAACAGCAGTAAATACTAAATATTGAATGTTGTTGTGTAGCAAGCAGGACCAACAGCGCACAATGTGCTTGGAAATAGCAGCCAATAGAGGTGTAGTTTATGTCTATGAACAGTGAACATCCGTGTGCACACCTGTGTGGATCAGCGCGCTTGTATTCAAAAGGTTTCCACATGTAATGATCTGCTAGAGGATGTAGAGAGCCATAGCCCCGTCCCTCAGGGCATGAAGGAGGCATGGAGGAGATCCAGGCCCCAGACATCCAGAGGCCCCAGCGTGCGAGAGCCCAAGGAGGAGCACCGGAGGGGCATCTGTGCCACCCTCATGGGAAGGGCTGAGGATCCCCAGACGAGGCGTCACCCAGTAGCCACGGAGCAGAAGCCAAAGGAGGCTGCAGTGGCGTGCCCGCCGGCTCTGCCGGCAGCCAGCTGTGCCAGAGTGAACCGAGCCACAGGCCCACAGGCCGGAGGCCCGAGGGCCCCCTTTACCCCGGAATAGGCCTGACCGAGTAACAGGCACCAGGCCCCGCCAAGTAGTCACCAGGAGTGAGCTGGTACATACCTGAGCGCCCAGCCCCGGACACAAAGAACCACCAATGCACCGACCCCTGAGGGCATCAGCCACCGGCAGGGAGTGTGGTGAGGGGAGATAGGCCTCCACACTTTGGAGGGCCTGGCAGTTCCCAGAGAGGTGGAGTCTAAGACCCGACCTGACATATAAACACAGACAAACAGGCACACACAGACACAAATATGCATTCCCACCCTCATGCACACATATACAAATACTCAGCACTCACCCAACGTAGGGACAGACATACATGGACATGTTCACACAATCACACTCCCCAAACAAACTCTATACCCCGGGTCCAGGTACCCTCACCCCTGGAGGGGGAAACGGCACCTAGACCCAGGAGATGTTACCCTTCCCCCCGGGGTGGAGGCAAGCAGACCGCCCCAGGCCAACACCTCCTTCAAGCTCCCCCACCCCGATGGCTAGCAGAGAACAGGGGTGTGTGAAGACCCCAAACCTCCCTCCTCTCGCTCATGTGTAGTGTTGCTGCATGTTGTTCTAAGGTGCATTTAAAACACGGGAGATCAGATCATTACATGTAGGAACCTTTTAAAAACAAGCGCGTCCATGCTCACAGGTGTACACACGGGTGCTCACACACACAAACTACACCCTTTTTGGCTCCTACCTCAAAGCACACTGTGTTCTGTTGATCTTATGTGCTGCACAATAATGTTTAACATTTAGTATTTACTGTTATATTCCCATAGATCATCATGATGTTGTTTATTGTATTGCTCTCGTCTTCTTCTGCTTGTTTTCGTTTTTCTTTCTCAACAGGTGATCCAGGTGGTTGATGGATGTATTTTTTGTCTGCTTATTTAGTTGGTTTTTGTTTTTTGCCCTTTATCCCCGTCCCTCTTCCCCGCTGTTTTTTCTCTCTCTTTCTTTCTCCCCTTTCTTTTCCCCAGTCAAATCTGTCCCATATCTTTCCAATAAGGCTGGGATGGTCAATTTGGTAAAGCAAATCCGTTGGGCATCTTTCTTCGCCTTTAGACAATAATTCTGATGCAAAAGAGCCAAACGGGACAGGAAATAAAAACCCCCAAAAAAACCCAGACAGAGGCGCAAGGCAGCCCAGGCGGGGAAATTTTGCTTTTACATTTTGCAACTCATTTTATTTTTCTATCTGATAAGAAAACTATTGAATCAGATAGTTATTTATGGTGAATGAAATACAGTTACACTTTCAAGCACTTTTAAGCACCATATCTGAAATTCAAGCACTTTCAAACCTTGAAAAGACTTGAAAAAACTTCAGTAACCCTACAAACGTCACTGCTGTTTAGTTTTCTGTCTTCATTTATGTTGGAAGTGATAGCAGAGCTGTACGTTTGAATTGTTTCAGAAATCTCTCAGTCAGAACATGCTATATCATGTTTAGGTGGAAGCTAGCGAGCTAACTTCCTGCTAACTTCTAACTCCGTTAAAATTAATAAATCCTGTTTTCACGGATGCCTGGATGTTAAACTTAATTGTTACACCTGGTAAAGCTGCAACACTGATCATTTTATTAAAGATGAAAGAATTTAGACAGTTTGTAACTCTCAGTGATGCTGCAGTGTTCGTTTGGCTTTGGGACCTGAAGCAGACGGAGTTTAGGACCCAGATTCCTCCACGAGGCTCCTGACTACAGTAGCTGTAATGGTCCAACAATCCATCAAGCAGTGCGGCTTCATCTCTTACCAAAGTCGTACTTAAACATTTTTGACAGATTTTTGAGCGCCGTGTAGCACATGAAATCGGTCCGAGGTCAGTAAGCACAACCAGAATTCATACATAAGGCACACTGTTGATTTTTGAGAAAATTAAAGGATTTTAAGTGTGCCTTATAGTGCGGAAAATATGGTACGTCCACAACAAACTTGTTCACACTTCATTACTAGAGAAGTTAACCATGTTTAATACTTTACCACTGAAGCAACATTGACTGACTACAACCATTTACTGACCTCAGAGTTTCCAGGCTATAGTGTGAATTCTCTACAAGATCAGACAACCGCTTCACATGTAGATGCTGCAGGTTGTTTCCTCTCAGCTCCAGCTCTCGCAGATGGGTAGGGTTGAATGTCAGAGCTGAGTGCAGATATTCACAGCCAACAGCTGATATAAAACAGTACTCCAATCTGCATAAAGAAAAGATGAGTTTAGAAAAACGCGGAGGAAAAATAAAGCACAAGTTTATTAAATAACTCAACTGAAATCACTTATGTTTATTAGACAAAGTGCTTGAAATCATTCAGTGTTTCATCATCTGTTCAGAGTTGAAGAAGCTTCAGAATGTAGAAGTTCAGAAAATGGAAACTCCAAACAGCTGAAGCCAACAGGAAGCAGCTTCAAACAGGAAACTGTGCAGAGTTTCAGACTATATGTCCTGATGCAGCCAGTTGGATTTTGGAGATTTGAATCTCTGTTCTGTGACTAAGTCCTTGAATCATTTCTTCCAGTTGGTCCAACAAGACAGACTAAGTGTTGCACATGTGATGTGATGGCCCCTCTGGGTCTGTCAGGTCACAGCACTGAAGAGAGCTCAAACTGGGCACACAGTTGTTCCAGTCTGGACCAAAGACTCTATACTGGTCTGTGTTTATCTAACCTGTTCAGTTTGCTTCTCATCTTTGCTTATGATCGTGTGGTTTCACTGCTTTTTATTCTCAGATATACTAATGAGTGTCAGAGAAATTAGGATTTGTCTGTTTTCCATGCTCATGGCTGTTTAATTAAGAGTGAATGGTCCACAGTATGGTTATGGCCCAGTGATTTAGCCAAATTAAAAAAGAGACACTTTCATAACACTAGAAACTGACTTTAATCTTGACCGCCCCACCAGAAGCTGTGGGCCAACAGGGACCACTGGTCGCCTGTGGTCAGAAACAGCTGCTATAGTTCAGGCCTAACTCCAAACCAGACGACCCTGTGTCCCTCACCACCTCCTCCTTACTTTCTTTCTGATGTCTTTTAACTTGCATGGTTGCATGGTGCTTTTTTATAATGAATATTTTGTTAGATAATCAGATTTTGCCATAATGGGCCTACTCTGCATGAAGGGCTACATCTGCAGTTTAATGCCACCACAATGTTTTTATCATGTACATCCACACACAACATGGTGACTGACCTCAAAGTTTCCAGTCTGCAGTATGGACTCTGCAGAAAACCACACAACTGCTTTACTCCTGAATCCTGCAGCTTGTAATTGTGACACAGGTCCAGATGTTTCAGATGGGAGGGGTTGGACTTCAGAGCTGAGGTCAGATAAACACAGCTGATCTGTGACAAACTGCAGATGCTCAGCCTAAATAACAAATAAAAGATATGTGTGTTGGATTTTTTACTTGAAATCATTCAGTGTTTATAATCCAAACAGCTTATATGTGTTTGTGTGTGCGTATGTTTGTTTCAACCACAGGCCTTTATGTTTCAAGGTTAAAAGAACAGTTAGAAAGAATTTCATATATGTAAATATTAGGGGTGCAACGATACACAAAATTCACGGTTCGGTTCGATACTTTGGTGTCACGGTTCAATATTTTTTCGATACAAAAAAAAAATGTTGATGCCTTTTTAATTTGTCATTTATTAAATTTTTGCGGCACATTCCGCACCACATCTCTGTGCGTTCATCATTTGTTTGCACTGCAACTACTTTTCCGAGAATACGCGCTTCTTTTGTGGTTCGGACTCCTGACATTTCTTTGGAGGTGGAGGAACATCACAGTAATTGCTTAAAGGAGCGTCTTCGACATCTTTAAGAGTTCTAAACAAATGTCTGTCCTCCTGAAAATCTTATGTACGCAAACACACGTTGCAACTTCTTATCTTGTGCGCGTTTTTTATTTTGACAGCGAATGCGCACCTGCGGACCACTTATGTGCAGCCCTGGTTATTTAGCTCGTCATTTTGCAGCCACAGAAATTCTTTTGTCCATGAAACCATAAAGCTGCACTTTCTTTTTGCGGGTTGAGTGGGTGAGCTCTTCAAGGAGGGGAGTGTGCTCCCCCTGATGAGGTCTTCTAGGTAAGCTAGGTTAACCTTCTTGTGTGGGCTTTTCAAGTGCACTTTAAGGTTAGTGGGACTTTTAGTTTTATAAATGTCCCTCATGACCCCCTGATGACCCAGTATTTCATTTTTGCACACTGTAGTACACATTTTAGTTTTTGCTTGTAGCTCGCATACTCTACTTGCCACTCCTCTAAGTCCTGATGTTTCTTAGAGAGGGCAACAGTACCTTTAAAATTATATCACACGTGTGGGGGTGTGGCCTTGCCAATTGTTTTGCCCACCTTTTCAAAATGGCTGGCGTGCCCACAAGCACATTTCATGGAAAAAGAAAGGTAAGCTTGATATTTATATTTAAAATGTTTTGTTAAACTCAGATTTTTATTTTATTCTTTTTGCAAGTACCCCTCCTCGGTGGCGAGAAACTGTTGGTGTGGTCAAGTGGGTGCTCTGGAAACAAACGCTCAGGACAGAACAGTTATCAGTCATGTACTTCCTACAAATTTTGCATATGTTTTATTCCATATTGATCCTCTGAGTGTAATGGTACATTTTAATTTGAATTTATCCAAACTAAACACAATATTGTCTTTATTTACTTTGCTCTTGTTCTTTTGCAGTACCACATCCTATCAAATGTCCCTGTCGATTATATTCTACATTTAATAACTTACTATTTCAAGTGAGAACCTAAATCACGTGGACCAATGTTTATTATTGCATATCTCTATTCTGAATGTGGCCAGTCATTCATAGGTATTGTTCAATTTTGGCGATTTTCCTCTATAACATTTAATTGACTTTTTACAGTGGCCTGCTATGGTTAATAATAACATATTCCAGTCATGAGTGATATCAATAGTTTTCTCCACTGTAGCATTTGGCATTCCCAATAATATAACATGACACCTTACTCAAAACACAGCTAATATAGCACAGTTTTCTTAATGCAAACATCGGTAACTCAAAATCAGCAACCACAGTGTTAAGTCTGCAGTTCATACTTATGTGAAGCTAGAGTCTCCTCCTCCAGTCTCTCTTATCCTCCTGCTCCTGAAAAAACAAAACAAAACAAAGCGAAGCATCCACCCTTCTCTTGTCGGCTGGGTGAACTGCTTATGAATTGTTTATTGGCATTTACTAATCCTAAAGTGGGTGCAGTCATTGTCTCAGTATCAAGTCAGTCAAAGCTTCCAGTCCGTCCATCACAGTCCATTCACATGCATACCTCCATACACATTCATACCAGATGTTGCTGATAATGGAGTCTCACGCGCAACCTATTCGAGCATCCATCACCAGCAAGATGACGTCATCATTTTAAAGGAAAACAATTCCTTGTTGTTTTTTTGGGCCGGATTGACTCGGTGCAATCCTTTTAGATCAGTGTTCCCTATAAGTGAATTTCTCCCAAGCCAATTACAATCATGGAGAAGCACACTTTGCAACTGTTTACAGTAATAATATTTTATAGCGCTTTAAATTTCAATCTTTCAGGCCTTGTTTAAAGAGCCGATTGTTAAATCATGAACTCACAAAATATCAACATATCACCACCGGTGGATCACACCTCTCAGATGTTTTTCTCCAGTGCACTGTAACAAAAACGAAAACAGACATAACCAACAAAATACTACTAAAATAACACAAACTAGGGCCCGTTGCAGACATGTCCAAGCATAAAACTATCCCTCTCTCGCTTACGAGAAAGAACACAAGCCAAAGCTCACTGATAAAATCAAGCTAGCGCTAAACAAAACCAAACAATCAACCAGAAATTCACAGGAACATTTTTCTTCCTGCCGGGACAATATGGTGTGGGAATGAGAACCTCAGGTGCCGTAACACCTTTTGTTCCTCCTTGAATTAAAACTCAATCACAGAAAATGCCGTACTCCAACCTAACCTTACACTATTACTTCATCATTTTCACTCTGTGCCACTGTTCCTCATCAGGGCTGTGTGAAGCACAGCAAAGAATTCAGTCAAGGCCTTGAGCCATAAACAGACATCACGCACAGACATTGTTTTCATAACCAAACTTTTTTAGACCTTATTAACTCTACATAAATGCCTTCTAGGTGACATATAACACATTCTAAGTATTTAATGGTAATCAATGGCTCCTCATAAAAATTATGCATTGGGATGTTTGTGTGCAGCATTTTGCATATCAGCATAAGCAAAGCATTCTTCATTGCATCAGCGTGTATGTGTGTGTGCGTGTGGATCACTCTTTATTGCACAAGCGTGTGCATGTGTATGTGTGTGCATCACTTCTCAGTGAATCAACATTCCCGTGTGTGTGTGTGTGTGTGTGTGTGTGTGTGTGTGTGTGTGTGTGTGTGTGTGTGTGTCATTTCTCACTCACTCAACGAGTGCGCGTGTTCATGTGTGTATTTCACTTCATTCTGAATCTGTGTGTTTGGAGACGTGTGTGTGTGTGTGTATATGTGTGTGTGTGTTCATCACTTTCCTGTTCTGGTGTTCTGGGTAAACCACGGCCTGAAGCGTGCCCTGGGGTCCTGCCCCCTCCTTTTTCAGTTTGTTTGCGACCATTGCTGCTGCTGCTGCTCAAAATTCAGTCCATCCTGGTTCTGACCCCAATCGGGGCAGTCCTTTCTCCAGTGTCGATGTTCACCGCAGGTGAAACCTGCATCTTCTTCTGTGTTTTTATCCATTCTGAGGTGCCTTCTGACCTCAGTTACTCCTCCTGTCTCGGTCACGCCCTTTTTCGCCACCCGATCATCCGTGTTGGTCCATCACTGTCCTGCACAGTGTGAATGCAAAGTTATCAAGGTCAGCATTCTTTCGCTCGGCCTTACTTTTCATTCGGGCTTGGCGGGCGTCTCGTCACAGCTCTGTCAGCTGACGCAGTCTGGGAATTTTTCCCCCGTGTAGTGAAACGGGCCTTAGGTTTAGTGCTCTCCGTCTCGGCTGCATGAGATCACATTCCTGCAGGTCTGTTGACATTCTCAGGTCGTTGTTGTGGGTCCAGCTGTTGCAGCATTTGGTCAGTGTCACGTATGGGGGAGAGCAGGAGTCCAGTCAGCCTCGGCTTTCAGGGCCGGCAAAGCAGCCTGTAATTAAATATGTATAGAAAAACAAAAACAAAACAAAACAAAAACAAACAAAAAACAAAAACAAACGAACAGGAAAATGTTGTTGTGTTGGCTGTGTTATTCAGAGGGGAGGCAATGGGGCCAGGCCCTGTGTCAGCCTTCTCTCCCCCTTTTTTTGTTTTTTGTCTCCCGATATAATCAACTCCTAACCCACCAAGTTGACAGGACAACACCGGTATATGTTAAAATTCTTAAGATCATGTTTAAAAGCCCAAAAAAGGAACTTTCTTTCATTCAGTAATCACTTTTATTAATCAATCAACAGAAAACATGTCACAATTTGAATCTTTTAACCACTAAATTTGTTGTGTCTTGCCTGGTTGGTTAGACCAGTGTTCCTTTTTTTTTTTTTTTTTGTTAAATTGTTGTCCTGCAACCCAGAGGGTTTCTTTGTCAGTAATGTATAGACTTCATCATTTAAGTATGTTAATTTTTCTTTAACCTTGCTGGAAAATCTTCACGTGTTCATGAGTGTAAGCTGTTTCTTCATTGCGTGTATGTGCATTTGTATAAAAGCAGGTTAATTTTATCTTTTCTCAAACTAGGCGTTACCTTAAAAGGAGCCTTTCTCTCAGCTTTCTCTGCTTGTGTGTTTTTGTTTCACCTTTTGTTGTGATGCTCCGGACGCCTTCCCAACCTCCACAAGTCCGTTGGCCCCAATTTTATGTGTTAAAACTTCTCTTAATTTCTCCTCTAATTCTCTCCTCGCTGCTGTCTTTTTCACAGCTGCTGATTCGTGCTGGGTTTGGTTCCCATTACCTATAATTTTGCTTCGGCCGCTGTGCTTGTGGGGGCAGTTGGTCCAGGTCCGCAGCTTCCTGTATTAACACACTAAGAGATTTATTTAATTTCATTTTCATCACTGTTAAACAGATAAGCAGGCAACACGCCTACCTTGACAGCGTAAACTGTACGCCAGTCTCCCAACACATTCCTCTCTCTACTCCTCCATAATTCTCCACTGCACACCTCTTACTATCTCTCCTTTTTATTTTTATTACACCACAGAGTAATACACCCAATTATGCCCGTCTATCTCTATGTGGCTCCAAATTCCCTCTTTATTTTAATTTCACACTCGTCAGGGGACAGGCACACAACAATTTCAACCACTGAAACGAGGAATTCAACCTTTTTATATTTCTTCACTAATCTAGACTCAACGTTTGTTCGCAAAATGTGTCTTGTTCTAGTCCGGAAATAAATGTGAACCCGTGATTACACGGCCGTTCCAGTGTTATTTCCGTAGCTATGCGGGGGCCCTCACCTCCCCAAGTCACCACCTCAGCACCCGGACAACGCCGGTCCTGGCCAAGCGTCCCCGGACAGGAGGGTCGCTACTCCATAGGCAAAGTTCCACAGGTACACTAGGCATCAACCTTTGATCCTAAAATGTGTATTTGCTCTAATGTCCTCCTAATCAAACACATTAACCGTCACTGTCACTGTGTTCACGCTTCACACTCCACACAAAAACACACTCAGAGCGCGCCTCACTCACACTCTCACTCAGTGCGCGCTTTACCCACAAGACAGCACCCAGAGCGCGCCTCGCAGCTTCACACACACTCTCACCCAGAGCGCGCCTCGCAGCTTCACACACACTCTCACCCAGAGCGCGCTTTGACACTCACACACAACACTTTTCCTCAGCGGGAATTTTACACAGAAACCTCTGAGCTCAACTATTAGATCTTCTTAAAGCACACTGCACCATAGACCAAAATACCCTTTTCTCTGCGATTATGACCGCCACCACGGGGCAAAGTCGCATCATAAACGTGATGCTTGCATCCCCGAAGTTATACCTGACATCATAAACCAGGTGTTGCTCTGTACTTAAATTTTACTTTGTATTATGGCCGCAGCCCTTTATACTCGACTGACGCCACAAACCACCGTCAAAACCTCTCTCAAATGTACTAAAATTAGCACCAACCACTACTGCACTTCACGGCCGCACCACCGGAACACGCCGTATCATAAACCAAACCTACGGACGTGTTTCGCTCTCGCGTTGCCAGCGTCCAACTGCACCGTGAAGCCAGCATCTGCTTGTCCTTAAATCAACTTCTATTTCATAGCCGGCAAAAGCCAGGACGTCACTGACACCATAAACAAAATAAACAAACCTCGACTTCAATGTACTGAACTAATGGCCGCGTCTTCAGAAGAAATTCTAACGTATTATTGCTACAGAAGCCAGTATTAGACAAAATTAAATGTGGAAGGTAAAGTGGCTGCACTCTAGTCCAACGTAGTATGTTATTAGTATCTCGGTAGAGGCAGTTTATTTAACACCCTGGAATTCAGCCTCAACTTATGTTGTTAGTATCTTGCGCCAAAAACCAGACACCGACAAATTTACTGTGAAAATACATGTGACTCAGCGAACAGATTAATTTGGAAAGCCCAATATGCACATTTGGTATTTATAATACAACAGGCTGTGCTTACCTTTTTATTTCTGGACCGGTCCTCTGTTCACCTCGCCTCACGATCTCACCAAAGGCCAAATCTACACCTCCTCAGCACACCAAAGATCCGGGTCACACGGCACCAAGTTGTTGAAATCACGCAGTTCTTTGAATCTTTGGGCTGAAGGAAGGACAATACTCGGTGTATCAATGCTCAATCAACAATCATTTATTTCCATACAATTCAACAGTCAGAGCATTACAACGTCCGGACGGGAGAGATGCTACCAGAGGGTCAGGCACATGTCTCAAAATGGTGACGGGTTGCTCAGCTTTTTATAGTCTCTAGTGGCCCCAGCTAGTCGTAAAAGCCAAAACATCACATTTTTTCTCTGTTACAGCGCCTAAGTTATGACCTCGGCAGTTGTTTCTCTGCTTTCTGTAAGGTGGGGGTGTGGAATGTGGTCTGTCTATCTCCCCTGTCTTTAGACACAGAGTCTCCTGCTTACAACCTTCTCTTCATGATTCAACAATTAAGCATGTCAAGAAAACAGTGTAACACATTCCCAGCAGATCAAGGATACAGAGTGATGCACATTTATCTAATAAACTAATATGTGAATATGTTCTGTTAACTCAAAAGTATAATGAGAACTAAACTACATACAGATCACACACTCTATTTTAAAGGGTATAATATGATCTACAACAATATCATAATTCAACTATTTTGATTACATCTATAAGGTAACATATAATAACAGAATAATATCACAATGGGTAGGGTTGAATGTCAGAGCTGAGTGCAGATATTCACAGCCAACAGCTGATATAAAGCAGTACTCCAATCTGCATAAAGAAAAGATGAGTTTAGAAAAACGCGGAGGAAAAATAAAGCACAAGTTTATTAAATAACTCAACTGAAATCACTTATGTTTATTAGACAAAGTGCTTGAAATCATTCAGTGGTTCATCATCTGTTCAGAGTTGAAGAAGCTTCAGAATGTAGAAGTTTAGAAAATGGAAACTCCAAACAGCTGAAGCCAACAGGAAGCAGCTTCAAACAGGAAACTGTGCAGAGTTTCAGACTATATGTCCTGATGCAGCCAGTTGGATTTTGGAGATTTGAATCTCTGTTCTGTGACTAAGTCCTTGAATCATTTCTTCCAGTTGGTCCAACAAGACAGACTAAGTGTTGCACATGTGATGTGATGGCCCCTCTGGGTCTGTCAGGTCACAGCACTGAAGAGAGCTCAAACTGGGCACACAGCTGTTCCAGTCTGGACCAAAGACTCTATACTGGTCTGTGTTTATCTAACCTGTTCAGTTTGCTTCTCATCTTTGCTTATGATCGTGTGGTTTCACTGCTTTTTATTCTCAGATATACTAATGAGTGTCAGAGAAATTAGGATTTGTCTGTTTTCCATGCTCATGGCTGTTTAATTAAGAGTGAATGGTCCACAGTATGGTTATGGCCCAGTGATTTAGCCAAATTAATAAAGAGACACTTTCATAACACTAGAAACTGACTTTAATCTTGTCCGCCCCACCAGAAGCTGTGGGCCAACAGGGACCACTGGTCGCCTGTGGTCAGAAACAGCTGCTATAGTTCAGGCCTAACTCCAAACCAGACGACCCTGTGTCCCTCACCACCTCCTCCTTACTTTCTTTCTGATTTCTTTTAACTTGCATGGTTGCATGGTGCTTTTTTATAATGAATATTTTGTTAGATAATCAGATTTTGCCATAATGGGCCTACTCTACATGAAGGGCTACATCTGCAGTTTAATGCCACCACAATGTTTTTATCATGTACATCCACACACAACATGGTGACTGACCTCAAAGTTTCCAGTCTGCAGTATGGACTCTGCAGAAAACCACACAACTGCTTTACTCCTGAATCCTGCAGCTTGTAATTGTGACACAGGTCCAGATGTTTCAGATGGGAGGGGTTGGACTTCAGAGCTGAGGTCAGATAAACACAGCTGATCTGTGACAAACTGCAGATGCTCAGCCTAAATAACGAATGAAAGATATGTGTGTTGGATTTTTTAATTGAAATCATTCAGTGTTTTATAATCCAAACAGCTTATATGTGTTTGTGTGTGCGTATGTTTGTTTCAACCACAGGCCTTTATGTTTCAAGGTTAAAAGAACAGTTAGAAAGAATTTCATATATGTAAATATTAGGGGTGCAACGATACACAAAATTCACGGTTCGGTTCGATACTTTGGTGTCACGGTTCAATATTTTTTCGATACAAAAAAAAAATGTTGATGCCTTTTTAATTTGTCATTTATTAAATTTTTGCGGCACATTCCGCATCACATCTCTGTGCGTTCATCATTTGTTTGCACTGCAACTACTTTTCCGAGAATACGCGCTTCTTTTGTGGTTCGGACTCCTGACATTTCTTTGGAGGTGGAGGAACATCACAGTAATTGCTTAAAGGAGCGTCTTCGACATCTTTAAGAGTTCTAAACAAATGTCTGTCCTCCTGAAAATCTTATGTACGCAAACACACGTTGCAATTTCTTATCTTGTGCGCGTTTTTTATTTTGACAGCGAATGCGCACCTGCGGACCACTTATGTGCAGCCCTGGTTATTTAGCTCGTCATATTGCAGCCACAGAAATTATTTTGTCCATGAAACCATAAAGCTGCACTTTCTTTTTGCCTTATAGTCTGATTTGTCATAACTTTTCCGTTTTGTGGTAAGCTTTTCTTTGGCTGTCACTTCTTCACCCTGACCTGTCTTATTTGGCTCAGCAGAACTGAAATGCTTTTACACACGCACTCACATAAGCTCAGCGATTCTCTGCGCGATCAACCTCTCACATGTTTAAGCTGCGGGAGATTTCACTTGTCATGTTTGCATAGTAAGCTAACGATTAATAAGACGATGTCAGAGGAATTGGTGCACAAATTATCATCACTCACAGATCAGTGCTGTCGCTCTCTATACACAGTTCCCACGATTGCAAAGTGAAAGCAAAAAAACAAGCGCAAATTCAAACGCGACTTCAATATGTCACATATTGACAGTGGCTCACCGATGCCAATGACATAATTACCCAGCTACATTTCTGAAAGAATGCAAAAGCATTGACATATATTTTTGCTTCCTACAATAGCCGGACGGGCAGGGCAGAGATAGATTTTGGTAGCCCGACTGGAAAAATCGCTAGCCCCGGGACATTGGGCTAGCGATATTGCGAGCCCTGTATCTGATTGAGGAATCACTCATCTTTGGAAAAGAGAGTTTATTACAGAGAAATGTCTCTTTCCAAAATAAAAGCTATACTATCCGCTTCTTCTGGGCTATATTCTCAGCAGCATAAGGAGAATCATGTGCTAACAGCTGTCTAAATGACTCGGCTAAAGTTAGTAGCATGCTTGTTGTTTTTGTCTTTGCACTAGGATGATGTCGGCGTAAATGTGCAGTCATATTCGTCGTGTTCCCACTAGTGCTTTCAGGTTAATCTCGTTGAAATGACGTTAACGCCACAACACGGCAAATCTCCGTTAACGAGCTACCACCAATCGCCCCGTGCATGGGGCTAGACGGCCAACACGTTAACGAGCTAACTGCGCTAACACACTAGTTCCCACCTATGTAATTGAGCATTGCGTGGCACATCCAACATACTGTTTTACTTTAGTCCATGACTCGCTTACCTTCAGGGTCATACGTCACATGAAAACCAAAATAGTTCCAAACGCCAGATCTGAATGAGGGTGGGGGAGGTCCATGTTGCAAGGAGAGCTTAACTTCTGTCTCGCTAGCTTGCCCTGAGCTCAGTGAATCTGCGTTCGACTACTCCGCCTAGGCTGCACTGTCGAGTGCAGATTCACTGAGCGCTCCACACAGACAGCATCGTCAGAAGGAAAGTTGATAAAATAAATTAAAAATGTTGTATTGTTCGATACATATGCGTACCGAACCGAAAGCACTGTATCGAACGGTTCAATATCGATACGAATATCGTTGCACCCCTAGTAAATATGTATATGCTGCCCTCTGGTTTCACAGCATCAGGACCAGAACAGCAAAATCAGAGAAACCCAGAACGGCCCAGCTGCTCCAGCCTTGACTATAAGGTCACTTCCTGTGTCTGTAACATCTTTGACCTTCCACTCTTCCAGCCAATCAAAAACAAAGCTGACCGTTCCTTTTTCCTTCTGCTCTCATTTTCTGAGGCTCTTCTTCACTCTTCAGGAGCAGTCTACCAGAGCTGTTGCCCATGAAATGAATGTTCATTTCTCTGCCATGAGCCATCTCCAAAGGCGTTTCAGAGAATTTGGAAGTACCTCCACATCCAGCATGTTCACCTCTAGGATCATCTGAGACCAGCTGCAGCAACAATCGGTGTGTGGCATCGTATGGGTGAGCGGTTTGCTGACGTCACTGTTGTGGATCGAGTTGCCCATGGTGGCGGTGCAGTTCTGGTATGGCCAGGCGTATGTTATGGACAACGAACACAGGTGCATTTTATTGCTCGCATTTTAAATGCACAGCGATACCGTGACAAGATCCCGAGGCCCATTGTTGTGCCATTCATCCACAACCGTCATGTTGCCGGATGATAATGCACAGCCCCATATTGCAAGGATCTCTACACAATATCAGAATGAGAATCGTGTTTATTGGCCAAGTATATGTGCAGACACATACAGGGAATTTGGTTCCGGTAGATGGTGGCTCTCAAGCACAGCAATGTAAATCTCACACACACACACACACACACACACACACACACACACACACACACACACACACACACACACACACAAGTGTCTATATATACACATTACACATACATACACAAAGCTGTGTAAACCAACTATAAATAACGAATCTAAACTTATATACATAAAATACAGAAATGAATGAGGTGGAATGAATACTACAAAATGTACATAAGGTGCAGTTGCAGTCTGGCAGTGGGAGCAGTGTGACAGGTCAACTGTTAAGAAGGGAGATGGCGAGGGGAAAGAAACTGTTCCTGTGTCGGGTGGTCCTGGTCTGCAGGCTTCTGTACCGTCTGCCAGAGGGCAGCAGATCAAAAAGTCTGTGTGCAGGGTGTGAGGGGTCTGTGATGAGTTTCCCTGCCTGGTTCTTGAGAGGTACAGATCCTGGATGGAGGGCAGGGGGGCATGATGATCTTCTCTGCTGCCCGTACAGTCCGCTGCAGTCTGCTCCTGTCCTGTTTAGTGGCTGCTCCATACCAGACTGTGATGGAGGAGCACAGGACAGACTCAATGACCGCAGTGTAGAACTGGATCAGCAGCTCCTGTGGAAGACTGTACTTCCCCAGTTGTCTCAGGAAGTACATCCTCTGCTGGGTCTTTTTGAGGATGGAGTTGATGTTGGTCTCCCACTTCAGGTCCTGGGAGATGGTTGTACCCATGGTTGTACCCATATTTGGAAGTATCGAATATGTTTGGGATGCTCTGGATCCGGGGTATATGACAGCATGTTCCAGTTCCTGCCAATATTCTGCAAAATCACTCAGCTATTGAAGAGGAGTGGACCAATGTTCCACAGCCCACAATCAACAACCTGATCAACTCTATGCAACGGTTTTACACTGTGTGAGGCAAATGGTGGCCACACCAGATACTGACTGAACCTAAAAACAAGAAGAGTGCACAATGAAGATCCTGATTGTAGATCAGTATAATACTGCGATCGCCGATCGTGGCTCAAGAGTTGGCAGTTCGTCTTGTAATCGGAAGGTTGCCGGTTTGAGCCCCGACTCGGACAGTCTCAGTCGTTGTGTCCTTGGGCAAGACACTTCACCTACTGCCTACTGGTGGTGGCCAGAGGGGCCGATGGCAGCCTCGCTTCTGTCAGTCTGTCCCAGGGCAGCTGTGGCTACAACTGTAGCTGCCTCCACCAGTGTGTGAATGAATAGTGGAATTGTAAAGCGCTTTGAGGGTCTCGAAAAGTGCTATATAAATGCAATCCATTATTATTTTATTATTAATATCAGCCTAATGTCTGCAGCCTCTTTAACATAACTAAAACATAGCGTCTGACCTCAGTGTTTCCAGTCTACAGCGGGGACTCTCCAGGAAACCACACAGCTGCTTCACTCCTAAATCCTGCAGGTTGTTTCCCCTCAGGACCAGATGTTTCACATGGGAGGGGTTGGACTTCATAGCTGAGGCCAGATAATAACAGCTGACCTGTGACAAACTGCACCACTCCAGTCTGTATAAAGAGGAAAAGAAAAAAGCTTATTCGACAGTTTCTGGTTTAAATCATTGAGGGTTTCACTGTTTTTCAGATTATATGATGCAATGTGTCCAACAGTGAGACTCTAATTAATGTAATTTATTATGAACCAGACACATATAGCCTAAGCCTAATAGTGGCTAGAAAAAGACAACACAGAGGTTCTGGTGATGGCAGCACAATAACAAGCCCTAAGCAAAGATGCCAAGGAGACAATCTTCAGGACAGACGTGATGCTCAGAAGTCTGTCATCTCGTGGACTACTACAATAAAGAACCTGTTGGACATTATGGACAATGCTGGGCATCCTCTGCATATGTTCATAAACAACCAGAGGAGTCTGCTCAGCGACAGGTTGGTCTAGGACCAACAGACTTAAAAACTCCTTTGTCCCACACGCCATCAAACTGTTTAACTCCTCTCTGGAGGGGAGAGGGAGGGGAAACAGGGGGACAAAGGAGGGAACAACTAATGTGTAGTGCCTTTGTCACTGTGCAATATGTTTTACATATTTATATATATTTTTTCTCTCTCTCTCTCTCTCTTTTAACATTCAACGGTGTAATAGACTCACAAAAGTTGAAATGTGCAATTCCATGGTATTCTTATTCCTGTTTATTCTATTTATCCCTATTGTATAATCTGTATTTATATATTTGTGTATGTGTATATGGTATATTTGGCCCAGTTTGCATTCTCTCTGGTTACCTCAGCTTCCCAGCTGAGTTGACTGGTAACTCTAAATTGTTCATAGTTATGAATTTGAGTGTGAACGGTTAAATGTGTTTCCCTGTGACAGACTGGTGATCTGTCCAGGGTGTGCCCCGCCTCTCGCCCTATGGTAGCTGGGATAGGCTCCAGCCCCCCGTGCGAGCCTGACAAGGATAAGTGGAAGAGAATGGATGGATGGATCTATAATTGAGCCATTTGTATATATTAGAGCTATTTCTTATATCTTTCTAAAGTCTGTAATATATTATATTGTTTAATTCAGTTCAGTCTGTTACTGTTATTGCCCTAGAGCAGGGGTCTCAAACTCAAATGAGCCGCAGGCCACTTCTGGCACTGTCATCTCATTGGAGGGCCACTTTAGTGTTCAAGTAGTACAAAAAACAAACAAGAAAACACCCACTAATATTTCCTAAAATGTAGTGTTTTGTTTGTTTTATCCATCCATCCATCCATTCGCTTATCCTTTTCAGGGTCGCGGGGGGCGCTGGAGCCTATCCCAGCTGTCATAGGGCGAAAGGCGGGTACACCCTGGACAGGTCGCCAGTCTGTCGCAGGCCAACACACAGGGACAGACAACCATTCACACTCACATTCACACCTAGTGACAATTTGGATTATCCAATTAACCTATCCCCACAAGCTGCATGTCTTTGGATGGTGGGAGGAAGCCGTCCAAAGAGAGAACCCCCGCAAACACGGGGAGAACATGTAAACTCCACACAGAAAGACCCTCGCCTGATGGTGGAGTTGAACTCAGGGCCTTCTTGCTGTGCGGCAACAGTGCTAACCACCGTGCCACCGTGCTGCCCTGTATACAGTTTATTTATTTTATTTTATTTAATTTACACAATAAAAAATAAATAAACTGTATACAGTTTATTTATTTTTTATTGTGTAAATTAAATTTTTGTAAAACTAAGGTTCCATGTGTCACTGTTGAAGTGGGGCATTAATCAGTGTGATGCCACTTGTAAACATGTTGCATGTGTGGGGTTTCCCAGCCAGAGCTGCATGGACTCCACACTGGTGAGGCACACTTTCTGTAGCTCCTCTCCCTGTACTAAATTGTACATTTAAATTTGTTGTATTTTTCTTTGCTAAGTATTAGTTAGCAAAACAAAATTTCAAACATGAACGCAATTTTTTTTCTCACTCTTAACTGCAATGAAAATGCAATGAAATGTATTTGACGAGCAGAAGACAGTCACTCAGCGGTATAGTACAGTAGTTTCATTGAACTACCAAATAAACAGCTCTTTCTGGCCAGACACGTGGCAGCACTTCTGCTACAATTTTGTTTGTATTTAACAAAATAAAAATGCAGGCATAAGCGTACACATTAGTTTTCGACGGCAAGTGAAAATTGTTTTCTTTACAAATAAATCTCTCACTGAACTAACACAGCCCTCAACATGTTTGCACTCCCTTGTTACCTTGGCCAGGTTAATACTTAGGGTTCTGTGTCGGGCTTGAAGCTGGGAACAAGCTTTACTGTCTGGGTCAACTTTGCTAGCGAGAGACAGAGAGAGGCGTTGAAAGGCTGCTCCAGCAGAACTTGATTGTTTCGGAGGAAAACACGAACACGGTGTACAGTCGAGTATTTACAGCTTACTTACAACTGGGCTGGTCAGGCACTGCTTCCATCTCCCGTTTCTGCTCGGTAGCACCTCGTACTTTTCGACTTTCCATTTTTCTCCCTCCCTCACACACACACAGCGGGAGGGGCGGTCCCACATGTTCTCCCTGCAGCACGGACTACACCGCCCACGAGGCTACAGTCTTAAAGGGCCATGCTTGTAACACTCTGCCGTCGTATTAAATCATTTTTTGAATAATAATTAAAAAAAAATTCTTCTTCACATTTATATGCCGGCCGCAAGCAGAGGTGACGTGGGCCGCAAATGGCCCGTTTGTTTGAGACCCCTGCCCTAGAGTGACTGTAACTATATAATTTCCTTAGAGATTAATAAAGTTATCTAATTCTTATACAGGAGCTCAACAATGGACTATATGCTGTCTCTATTCCTGTTCACCTTGTACTCCTCAGTACACCTCTGGGTCATTCAGTCTACATACTCAATCTGATGATTCTGAGCAAGTTTAATCTACACCAAATAGACTAAAGTATTTTTGTACCTACACATTATACATACAGGAGTGTTATCTGTTATCAGAGGCAGCTGACAGGTACCATCAGGCCAGGCAGAGTGCAGCTTTGGCAGCAGCTGATGCCAAAACTCAGGTGTACTAGGAGTTTGGTGAGACCTTGGAACAAGTCTTTTGATTGGTTCTTTTAAAGTACATTGGTTATTGAGTCTGGCTTCGGGCACCGGAAGTCTACGACCACAGCTACGTTTGGTGGACTCTGTGGAATCCTTTAAAACTTTTCTATTTTAACAAGCCTTCTGTTGAGCAATTTTGTTGTTGTTGTTATTTTTTTTATTTTTATTTTTTATTTACATTGTATTGTCTGTTTTGGTACTTTACGTTCTGTTTATTTTAACCTTGCACAGAGCTTTGTGACTACCTGTGTATGAAAAGCACTTAATAAATAAACTTTACTTACTTATAAAATATTTTGTAAGAGAAAAAACCCCAAAGACTTTGCAGGGAGAGACACACTGACACTGGCAGGACATCTATGCTGTTCATTAAATGTCAATAAGTTCTTGAGAGTTAAAATGAACTTTTGGGTGTTTTGACTGGTGTGTGATTAATGTTAATTGCTTCTTACCCAGTAAACTGGTAATGACTTACTACTACAGTAAGATAAAATTCTGTTAAATCCATAGAACTGAAAATTTAAGTTCTCTGGATTTGCATATCATAAAAACGTGGCATCTAACCTCAGAGTCTGCAGTCCCCCGTGTGGATCCTCCAGAAAACCACATAGCCGCTCCAATCCTGAATCTTGCATCATGTTAAGACTCAAGTCCAGATGTTTCAGATGGGAGGGGTTGGACTTCAAAGCAGAGGCCAGATAATCACAGCTGATATCTGACAAACTGCATTTCTCCAATCTGAATAAAAATGTAAAAGGTATCAGCTTAACAAATTGACTTCCTGTTTGAAGTCATTCAGTATTCATAATGTGTTCACAGCAGAAAATTGAGAATATAAAAGCTGATACTGAATGAACATGTTGCTTCTCCAGCAATAATAGAAATAGTGAGCTTCAATATTTAGTTTCATTTTTTATGATTTCTGAACGACAATTAGTTTAAATGGCTGAGTGGAGTAAAATTTGAAAAACAAAGCGGAATGTTTTAAATGTTTAATTGAGTGAGATCAAAATCCTCATAATAGCCTGTCACTTCTATTTGGAGCCAAAAGGAAAAACTGTTGTTCAGTCATTTGGCAAGAGACAACATTTCTGAAAGCACTCAAACTTCTTCACATTTGTCTTCAGACACATCCTGAACATTTAGGAACTAAAGAAAGTTTCAAACATGAATCAAAGATCTGAAATATAGAAAAAAACAACAGCTGCAGTCAGTGAACTCACCTCAGAGTCTCCAGTCGACAGTTTGGACTCTCCAGTCCAGCACACAGAAGCTTCACGCCTGAACCTTGCAGCTTGTTTCCACTCATGTCCAGCTCTGTCAAATGGGAGGGGTTGGACTTCAGAGCTGAGACCACAACTTCATAGTGAGTCTCTGAGAGTCCACACTGAGCCAGTCTGTGATTATAGAAAATATACAATGTGTGTTATAAAGACAGACTGAGTGTACATTAATGCAAAAAAGCTCAAGTGTGTGTGGAGGAACAGCAAGGACAGTTTCTGTTGATGAGGTCATCTGGAGCAGTTTTGGAGTAGCAGAGGCTATTTCTGTTGGTGTAGGCAGTTTGTGTTTGCGGGGCGACCGTGGCTCAGGGGCTTGGGAAGCGTATCTGTAACCGGAAGGTCGCCGGTTCGATCCCTGGGCTCTCTGTCCTGGTCGTTGTGTCCTTGGGCAAGAGACTTTACCCTACTGCCTACTGATGTTGGCCAGAGGGGCCGATGGCGCGATATGGCAGCCTCGCTTCTGTCAGTTTGCCCCAGGGCAGCTGTAGCTGCCTCCACCAGTGTGTGAATGCGAGAGTGAATGAATAGTGGCATTGTAAAGCGCTTTGGGTGCCTTGAAAAGCGCTATATAAATCCAATCCATTATTATTATTATTATTCCAGTGATTCATGGAGATTGAACCACTCACTATGTCACTAATTATGAGCCTGAGACAGAATAAGGTAACTGCTCTCCACCTCTATACAAACACAGTGGCTGACAGAGAAAGACACAGCAAGTCTCCCACATCCAGATGAAAACAAAATCTTTACCAGCCAGTGAATGTTACATTTAAATACATTCACAACAACACATGATTGAGCCTTCTAATAAATATAAAACAAAATAAATTGATTTCAGCTAGATTTAAAGTGACTTTAAATGGCTGTCATATTTTTGTCGTATTCTATTTTATTTATTGTATTTTTTTTTTTTATTTATTATATTATTTTTTTTTTGTACATTGTTACTGTTTTATTCTTATTGTTTCTATTTTGCTGTGACAAAAATTTCCACTGTGGACTATAAGTTATCTTATTTATTTTTATTTAATGTTATCCAACAATTACAGAAATCTATGTATTTTTTGTATTTAATCACCAAAAAACTGAGCCACCACCATCATCTACATCATCCACCCAGGTGTTCTAAGGATCCAATGACAATAACCCCCTAAGTATGAGTGGCCTCATACTCCTTTTACCGTGTGAAAAACTGCTGAGCTTTGCTTTCACCAAAGGAAAGCTGAATGTAAAACTAAAACAAAAGAAAATGATTTTGTACTGTCTACGTATTAAAAACAAATCTACCAGTCTACACTGATTTATGGTGTAAATGATCACATCTGGACTCACCGAGCCTTTCTGCAGTTCCTCACAGCTGGAATCAGTCTGTGTCGTCCTTGGTCTGATGTGTTGTACTTCTGCAGGTCCAACTCATCCAGAACCTCTTTTGACATCTGCAGCATGTGGGCCAGAGCTGAGCAGTGGATCTCAAAGAGTCTCTCTGATCTGTTTTTTGACTTCAAAAATTCTTGGATATCCTGATGTATTGAGAGGTTATTCATTTCTATCAGACAGTAAAAAATGTTGATGCTTCTGTCAGGAGAGATTTTATCACTGTTCATCATCTTCAGGTTGTTGATGACTCTCTGGATGGTTCCTGGGTTTTTCTCTGTCTGACCCAGCAGACCTCCTAAGAGTCTCTGGTTGGATTCCAGACAGAGGCCATGAAGGAAGCGGACAAACAGGTCCAGGTGGCCGGTTTTACTTCTCAGTGATTCTCTCATGGTTTCTGAAAGGAGCTCAATAAGTGATGGGATATTATGCCAGATATCCAGAAAATCCCTCAGCACCTTTGTCTTCCTGCTGGTGAAACAGTGGAACATGTAGACTGCAGCCAGAAACTCCTGAATGCTCAGATGAACAAAGCAGTAGACTGGTTTCTGGAAGATCACACACTCTCTTTTGAAGATCTCTGTACAAACTCCTGAGTACACCGAGGCCTCCGTGACATCAAGACCACACTGCTCCAGGTCTTCTTGGTAGAACATGATGTTTCCTTTCTCCAGATGTTCAAACGCCAGCATCCCCAGCTTCAGAAGAACTTCCCTGTCAGCCTCCGTCAGCTCCTGTGGACTCGTCTCATGTCCCTCGTGGTACTTGTTCTTCTTCCTCTTTGTCTGAACCAGCAGGAAGTGTGAGTACATGTCAGTCAGGGTCTTGGGCAGCTCTCCTCTCTGCTCTGTAGTCAACATGTGCTCCAGAACTGTAGCAGTGATCCAGCAGAAGACTGGGATACTACACATGATGTGGAGGCTCCTGGATGTCTTCATGTGGGAGATGATTCTGCTGGACAGCTCTTCATCACTGAATTTCCTCCTGAAGTACTCCTCCTTCTGGGCGTCAGTGAAGCCTCGTACTTCTGTTAGCCTGTCAACACATGTAGGAGGGATCTGATTGGCTGCTGTGGGTCGGGAAGTTATCCAGACGAGAGCCGAGGGAAGCAGATTCCCCTGGATGAGGTTTGTCAGCAGCTGGCTGACTGATGACTTCTGTGTGACATCAGACAGCAGCTTCCTGTTGGTGAAATCCAATGAAAGTCTGCTTTCATCCAGGCCGTCAAAGATGAACAAAAGCTGAGAGACAGCCAGCGTCTCTGCTGTGACCTTCTGTAATGTTGGATGGAAAACATGGAGCAGCTCCAGAAGACTGTACTGCTCATCTCTGATCAGGTTCAGCTCCCTGAATGAAAGCAGAACCACCACACTGACATGTTGGTTCTCCAAGCCCTCTGCCCAGTCCAGAGTGAACTTCTGCACTGAGAAGGTTTTTCCAACACCAGCCACGCCGTTGGTCAGAACCACTCTGATGGGTGTCTGTTGGTCAGGTAAGGCTTTAAAGATGTCCTGGCACCTGATTGGAGCGTCATGGAGGGCGTCCATCTTGGAAGCTGTCTCCAGCTGCCTCACCTCATGTTGGGTATGAACCTCTTCACTCTGTCCCTCTGTGATGTAGAGCTCAGTGTAGATGGTGTTGATGAGGGTTCTACTTCCTGTTTCATCACGCACACATCTCCTCCTCAGACTGATCTTATGTTCATCTAAAACCTCCTGCAGACCAACATCTGCTGAAAAACAAAAAAAATAATGACACTAAAAAGGCGAGACCTGTGCCTAAACATATATTGAGTGTGCATGGGGAATTCCTTCTAGAGACACCGGTCCGTGAGATCTTCAACTCCCACTCTAGCAGAGTTTTGACAGCATTCCTGTCGGGGGAAATGAGTTCAAATAGAGTATGTTCAGCACCTCCATTGCTGAAACCACTGCCCAGAGCTGTGAGCACATGGTGGTTGGTGCCTGATGTGGTGGTAACCCCCAAACCAGATGTCCTATTGGGCTCGGTTAGCCTGTGAGACTTCTGAGGCAGCTGACAGGTACCAACAGGCCAAGCGGAATGCAGCAATTGCAAACCACTCGACCAGCTCTTTACCCTTTCAAGCACACTTGAAGGTGCATGTGAGTTTTCCCAACCAGTGTATATGTATTTTATGGAAAGCATTTGACTGTTTCCCCTTGAGTATTTTTTGAAGGGTGTTTTTAAAGGACTTGAAGGACGAGTTCCCCAAGTGGAGAATTCTTGTTCACCAGTAAGTGGAGAGGGAGATTGATGCTGCGGGTGTATTGATCGCCTGTACCAGCCTGTCTTGGTGAAGAGAGAGCTGAGTGTAAAACAAAGCTCTATTTACCAGTTGAGCTACGTTCCTACCCTCACCTATGGTCGTCAGCAGTGAACTCAAGAACTACTTTGCTGATACAAGTGGCAGAAATTAGTTTTCTCAGAAGGGTGGCAGGCTTCTCCCTTACTGATAGGGTGAGGAGTTCAACCATCTGGGAGAAGCTCAGAGTAGAGCCGCTGCTCCTCCATATCAAAAGGAGCCAGTCGAGGTGGTTCGGACATCTGACAAGGATCCCTCCTGGGTGAGTTGTCCTGGCCATGTTCCACTGGGAGGAGGCCCCGGGTCAGACCCAGGACATACTGGAGAGATTATATCTCTTGCCGATATAGGAATACCTCGGTGTTCCCCCAGACAAGCTGGGGGAGGCGGATGCATCTTTCAAAAATTATGGATTTGATCAACTGGTCCCTCAACGAAGGGAGGGAGAGAGCCCAATTGTCCCGAAGAGACATTTGCTGCTGGATACTCGATGGTTAGTTGCGTCGTGTGCCTGGCGACACTCTCGAAGGAAGACATTGAATGACAACTACCTATTCTGAACCATGATAACAGAGTTCTGGCTGATCGGTGCTGGCTCAGACCTGGGTTATCAAAGAACAAAGGAAGCGACTACAGCTGTTCCAACCCCCACAAGGCCTGCCGACATGACTGATGATGGGCCAGCTGTGAGTACTCACGCCTCTTCAACAGGAAATTGACAGACCTGGTGACCAGTGATGGACATTAGATCCGCTTTAAAATTGGATGCAGGTTGTTTACACTAACCCAAACAACCACCACTTTCATTAATGCGGCTACCCCTCGGGCACCAGCCAGAAGGCCCGAAGGCTGGAACAACAATTCTCCCAGTTAACGGGACTGTGGTTTGACTCTCTGACCATGCCCCAACTGTCATAGCTGTCATCTACCGCCCCCCAAAATTTAATTCTGTTTTTATAAGTGACTTTGCTGATCTGCTGGCCAACCTAGCTACTGTTTCCCCTAATATAATATTGCTGGGTGACTTCAACGTCCATGTGGATAACTGCGATCATCCTCTTACCAAAGACCTTTTATCCTGCTTTGATAGCTTCAGCCTTAAACAATACAAAAACTTCCCTACCCACACTAAGGGCCATACTTTGGACCTAGTCTGTTGTTCTGGACTTACCCCCTCCAACTGCACAGCTGACGAGCTGCCAATCTCTGATCATCTACTTCTCTCCTTTAATGTTCACATGACTTTCTCCATAATTAACAATCCTCATATTATTTCTTTCCACAATATCAAGAATATAAATCTCGATATCATTTCTTCTGCTCTCTAGCTGCTTGTCTCTTAACAATTCAAGATGATCTAGTATTTAATTATAATCATAGCCTCAGTAGTATTTTGAATTCTCTTGCTCCACAAAAAAACAGAACTGTACTCTTTTCCCGCTCTGCACCCTGGTACACCCCCGAACTCCGATTATTGAAAGCTAAAGGCCGACGGCTTGAACGTCTTTACAAGAAAACTGGCCTTACTATTCATAAGGATATGTTTAATAATCATGTTCTGTTTTATCAGGAATGTATCAGTCAAACCAAATCTGCCTATTATTCTACCACTATCTGTTCATGTGAGGACTCCACCAAGACCCTATTCTCATTATTCAGCTCCTTTAACAGGCCACCTGATTCTCTGCCCGCTCATCTCTACTCATCTAAATTCTGTGACTCTCTAATGCTATTCTTCACTAAAAAAATTCATAATTCATACGGGCGATCGTGGCTCAAGAGTTGGGAGTTCGCCTTGTAATCGGAAGGTTGCCGGTTCGAGCCCCGGCTTGGACAGTCTCGGTTGTTGTGTCCTTGGGCAAGACACTTCACCCATTGCCTACTGGTGGTGGTCAGAGGGCCCGGTGGCGCCAGTGTCCGGCAGCCTCGCCTCTGTCAGTGCGCCCCAGGGTGGCTGTGGCTACATGTAGCTGCCATCACCAGTGTGTGAATGTGTGCGTGGATGACTGGATATGTAAAGCGCTTTGGGGTCCTTAGGGACTAGTAAAGCGCTATATAAATACAGGCCATTTACCATAAAATACACGTAGACTTGGTCCCTAATGCTCCTCTGTCTTAACTCCACCCCTTCTCACTTCCTCTGTTTTTCAACTTCCGTCTTTAACTGATATCGCTGATCTCATCCACAAATCAAAGCCTTGTACCTGCCAGCTTGATCCTATCCCCACTGTCCTTGTCAAAGCCTGTCTACCCCCTCTCCTTCCCCTCATATCTGCTATTATTCACTCTTCACTCACCACTGGAACTGTTCCTGCTTCTTTCAAAGTTGCCGCCATCACCCCAATCCTGAAAAAAACAGGTCTAGATCCCAACAACTTTAACAATTTCCGTCCTATCTCCAATCTACCATTCCTCTCAAAAATTCTTGAAAAAATAGTTGCTTCACAAGTCCATCTACACCTCACTGATAATAACCTTTACAAACAGTTCCAGTCTGGTTTCCGTCCTCTGCATAGCACCGAAACTTCTCTTATAAAAATACAAACGATCTTCTCATGGCAGCTGATTCTGGTCTCCTCTCCATCTTTATTCTCCTTGATCTGAGTGCAGCCTTTGACACCATCTCTCATCCCATTCTCCTTAGCAGATTAGCTTCTATTGGTCTCTCTCACACTCCATTAGCCTTGTTTAAATCATACCCGTCTGACCGCACTCAGTTCATTCAATTAAAATCCTTCACTTCTCAGCCTTCTCCTCTATCTACTGGGGTGCCCCAGGGATCTGTCCTCGGGCCCCTCCTTTTCATCATCTACCTTCTTCCACTCGGACACATTTTTCGTAAATGTAATATTCAGTTCCACTGCTATGCCGATGACACCCAGCTTTACCTCTCTACCAAACCCGATTCTACTCTTCCTCCACCCTCCCTCACCCTCTGCTTAGCAGAACTCAATTCCTGGTTCTCCTCCAACTTCCTTAAACTCAACAGCAATAAATCAGAACTTCTCCTGGTCGGCACTAAACGATTGCTATCCAGAATTAACGATTTTCCTCTCACTATCAATAATTCGCTGGTCCCTATCTCTCCCTCTGTGAAAAGCTTGGGTGTCATTGTTGATAGCACATTATCCTTAAATTCACATATCAATAATGTAACACGTGCAGCATATTTTCAACTCCGTAACATCAATCGCCTCCGCCCTTTCCTCACTCCTCATGTCACTGCCATTCTTGTCCATAATCTTGTTATCTCTCGAATTGATTACTGTAACTCACTATTACAGGGAGTGCAGAATTATTAGGCAAGTTGTATTTTTGAGGAATAATGTTATTATTGAACAACAACCATGTTCTCAATGAACCCAAAAAACTCATTAATATCAAAGCTGAATGTTCTTGGAAGTAACATCTCCACATTCACAAATATACATTTCTGACATTCAAAAACAAAACAAAAACAAATCAGCCACCAATATAGCCACCTTTCTTTGCAAGGACACTCAAAAGCCTGCCATCCATGGATTCTGTCAGTGTTTTGATCTGTTCACCATCAACATTGCGTGCAGCAGCAACCACAGCCTCCCAGACACTGTTCAGAGAGGTGTACTGTTTTCCCTCCTTGTAAATCTCACATTTGATGATGGACCACAGGTTCTCAATGGGGTTCAGATCAGGTGAACAAGGAGGCCATGTCATTAGTTTTTCTTCTTTTATACCCTTTCTTGCCAGCCACGCTGTGGAGTACTTGGACGCGTGTGATGGAGCATTGTCCTGCATGAAAATCATGTTTTTCTTGAAGGATGCAGACTTCTTCCTGTACCACTGCTTGAAGAAGGTGTCTTCCAGAAACTGGCAGTAGGACTGGGAGTTGAGCTTGACTCCATCCTCAACCTGAAAAGGCCCCACAAGCTCATCTTTGATGATACCAGCCCAAACCAGTACTCCACCTCCACCTTGCTGGCGTCTGAGTGGGACTGGAGCTCTCTGCCCTTTACCAATCCAGCCACGGGCCCATCCATCTGGCCCATCAAGACTCACTCTCATTTCATCAGTCCATAAAACCTTAGAAAAACCATCCATCCATCCATTCGCTTCCGCTTATCCTTTTCAGGGTCGCGGGGGGCGCTGGAGCCTATCCCAGCTGTCATAGGGCGAAAGGCGGGGTACACCCTGGACAGGTCGCCAGTCTGTCGCAGGGCTAACACACAGGGACAGACAACCATTCACACTCACATTCTCTCGCACATTCACACCTAGTGACAATTTGGATTAATCAATTAACCTATCCCCACAAGCTGCATGTCTTTGGACGGTGGGAGGAAGCCG